TCAGCTCTTGTGATATTTATAGTAATTCCTTTGTTTGTTGTAGATCAGTACAGATCCAGGTTATTATCTGCCCTTACCCAGTTAGAAGCCCTCGATGGAGTAAATCGACACGGGGGCGCTGTTAGCAGCTTTGATGTCTTATCAGATATTCCAGGTATAAATAATAAACTGTGGACAGCAAAGCTGTCATTGGGTAGCTTGATGTTATCTATGAGATATTGAAAGTTTATTATTTTTTGGTAAATTTCTGGAATGTGTGATTCTTTTAAAAAAAAAAAAAGAGAGGAAAAATCACGTCAAAATGCAGTTTGAGATTGATTAGGAATTTTAAAGAAATCATGTTCATTGCCAAAATATTGCAAATATTGAAGCATTATATTATGAAATATAATTATCAAGAATATCTAATTTTACACAATTTTGAGTCAGTATTTTACTTGCTATTTATAGGCCTGGAGGACTACATGGATTTCCTTGTCTCTCAATCTTCATCATCTGTGTCTGTAAGTGACTCAGAATAGCAGGGTTATTGTTCTTTCCATAGGCATTTAACTCTGCTAAAGTTATGAATTTCACATATCTATTAATATAAATACATACAGTCATTGATTATTGTTTATTTACTTGTTAACAAACCTAAGTTTGTGGGGGGTGGGATAATATTTTTACAGATTTGTCTTGTTTCCATTTGATTCTTAATTTTTGTAATAATGAAAATGTGTACATATTTCATGAACAGGAAAGCAAATCTATGGATGTCATTACTCCTAAGATTGATGAAGCTTTGGAGAAATTCAAACAGAGGAAATCGGGGAATATATCTACCACAGACATGAGTGTGGCAATGTCTGATGCTGACACAAGTACTGGACTCTCTGTAAGTATGATCCCCAACAAAGTCACCAACAACAGGGTAGTCAGAAAAAATCCCTTATAAGTAAGCTGGTGTCTTAGGTATTTACTTATAATTAAACATAAGTGAAGCATATATATCATCTTTGAAATACCACAGAGTAATTACTTTTGAATGGCTTTTCAATCTTGATGAAAAAAGGATTTAACCTTTTTTAACATACTCAGAAAGAAAATAAAATTTTATGTGTATATTAAGTATGAGGGATAAGAATCCTGTTTGTCAATCTGTTTGCTAGATTTTTACACCAGATCCAGAGCAGGCAGTGTGTGTGATGCCTTTCCCTATATAACTAGATATCTATACAGAGTAGGTACTCTGTGTGTCTGTCTGTGCCTTGATAACTAGATTTTTTTAACAGATACAGAGTAGACAGTCAGTGGTGGATCAGGAGGCCAGGCTAGGATTCCTAGAACTACAACTCGCACAGCTGATCCAGGGGTCAAAGGTTAGTTGATGTATCACCAAATTAAGTTGAGTCTTCTATGAATCTTGAATGAATAAGAATTGTATGAAAGCGCCTTGTGTGATGCTCTGAATCATTTAGAATGACACTGAAAATGGTTTCTTTCTCATTCCCATGTTCTGGTAAAATGCTTTGTTTTGAAGTTCAAAAATGAATGTCATGTTGTAGAAGTGACTTGAGAGGTTTATTGCTGTTTCAGGTGACAGAAGACAGGAAAACACCTGTGACAGTACACGTAGCCAAGAGAGGTCTGTACAGGAAGCTGTCATATTAACAGGGCCACCGATTTTAACCCACTTACTACTTATGTGAAATTCAGTTTTTAGGACAGCAAATTCTCATAATGCCATAAAGTTAGATTTTCTAAAATTCACACATACTCTTCCTTCATGGTTCTGCTACTTGATGATTTTATAAAATAGAAATCATATGAATAGGCACCACAAAGTGAGATATTTTGGTTTTAAAATACATGTGTATTTATTCAAATCAGTGAAGTCGTTTTACAGAAAGGTGCACTGGAGTGCCCTCCCTTAGCTCTATAGATTCTGATTGACAGTGATGGTGTCTTGTCTCATTAAATCTGTCATTATATATTTTGTCCGGTAGAAGCTGTTCTCATGTGTCACACCTATTTGTGTCTGATTTGTTTATAAACAAGAAAAATTAATGGGGTCACTCACCCAACATTGGCATTAGAGAAAAAACTTCAAGAATGTCGATCTGATGATAATAGATCCTGTTAGGATATATTGGAATTGAAAATCAGAATGGAGAATGGTCATAAACTGTGCTTAACAGAAAATTTACAATGTATTTGTAACAGGTTCGACTGACAAGATTCACACATTATATATGTTAATTTGTCTTTACAAGTATTACACACATCTGTGAAGGATTATATATAACAAATTTGATTAAAATAGAATAAAAATTTTAAAATACAATTTTAAATATGACATAAGTTTGAATTATTTACAATTTTTTTTTATGTTTTGAAGTACTATAAATTTTTAGCTCTATTGGTCAGAGACCGGAAAAACTTATTAAGAGTAAGGTGTCTTTCTATCAAGTACATGCATTAACAATTTTTCAAAATGCTACTCCTCCTACAGTTTTGGGCTGATTTCAGTATAACTTTGTACACAAAAAGACTTTACTAAGACTACACTATTATTCTGATGTTTTATATTTTTTAGATGTAGATACAACAGATGAAAGTGACAACGACTCTCTCCAACAAAGGAGTAAATCTCCCGGAAATCGTAAAGCAAGGAAATCCAGGATTCCGAGTTATCGTAAAAGTACAGTGGCTTCACGATCTCGTAAAGAAGCAAACAGTCCAAGCCGAGAAACAAGCAGTCAAAGTCCAGCAGTTAACAGGTAAGTCCCAACAATAAAACAGACAGACAATTAATTACATGTAGATTGGGATTTAAGGAATGATACTCAACCTATTTAATTAGGAAAGAATAGTGTCAAAATTAACTACACATAGCTTGAAATTTTTATTCTTTTTCACAACTGTCGTATATATATTTGTAAATTAATAGCTTTCATGTATGTTTTAAAGAATAAGCAACAAGATTTCAATGATTTATATATAAAATTGATATCTTTTGTTCTCATGTTTTTAAAAATGACAGTTATATCAGACACTTGCAATGTTTACCATGTGGCTATCAAATTCATGCATCTTACCATATACATATACCTAAGCTACTGTCAATAAAAGAGAAAGTGAAAAAAATAGTATGTAAATTGTATGTTGGCTGTATGCAGTATGTGCTTCTTAGAAATCAACCATACAACTTTCTAGTCTCTGAGGTCTCTTTCTTGGCAATTGGGGAAAATTGACATTTTTGGCCTTGGGAATGGTTCCTTTTAAAGGTACACTTGCACCAGTTATATTAGAGGGGAAAATTGTATATTGTCTTCATTTCTTTCTGGGAAATGTCCCTTAAAGATTATATAAAACAAAATTGTGTACCTTTAATTAAGTTCTGATGTAAAGCAATCAATTTCTAATGAAACATTAACAGAAGTTTACATGCACACCGAATCTCTTGAAGGCATTTTGCTCATTTATTGTCAGACATATTGATATCATTACACAGAAAAGTTGAGTTTGACTTGCTTACTTAATGTGGGATAAGTATTAATTTCCTTTCCAATAACATATTTCATGTCTTGTACATGGCATTTTGTTATTTCGATCTTCTTGTATTAATAATGAGCATTTATTAGAGATGATAAAAATGCCATAAAAAACAAAGTAATGTATGTAAAAAGGATTTCCAAATTTCAAGTATTGATGCTTTAGGGACAAACTACTTCCTGTATAGGGGGCTGTGTTATTTTATTTGAGAGTGCACGAGTTAAAATAAAAATTATCTGGATTTATTTCTTTGAAACTTAATAAAATGCATCTTTAGGTAAAGTGAGTCAATGTCGAATGAAAGGTCAAGGTCAGCAGATTTTGATGCAGTTCAACAGCAGTCACCAAAATGTATCAGCAAATAATGTTTGATGAAAATGATTTATAAATTATGTTATTTTTTTTACACCGAACTTGAATAGGAAACTTGTTAATCTACTGTTCTTTAAAATCCAAATATACTTAATTTACAGTTACATACAGGGTGTATTTTAATAGTGCAATATTATATTTGTTCATCTTGTTTTATCAGTAACTTTATATGTAGGCACAAATTCCAATCAAATTTTATCATTTGTGTGACTTCATCAGATTCCAAAATGATATAAAGTGCACTCAATGAAATCATTGCCATACAAACTGTTTTGTAGAATTATGTTTGTTTGTACTTTAATGTGACCCTAACATGAAACAAGGGCACACAGATTTCTTGTTAAATATGAACATATTAACCTTTAATTTTTGGCAGAAATTCCATCATGTTCAAAATGTTTTTGTCTCGAGGAATTACATTGACAAAGGAAATATATGTATTGCTTTTTTCAAAGTGGATATATGGTTATTAACTGCCTCAAGAAAACAACTGTGTACATGGGAAACAATTTATTTCATTAACAATGGAGTTTTAATTGAGTCAAGAATTATATTCTGCATTTATATTTTTTAACAAATTAATATAAAATCTTGTTTTGTCAAAAATATTTGAGAAGATAGGAATGAATATTTTGCAATCGCAAATTTGGGTTTGTAATTCAATGTAACTGATAGTTGATAGATTTATAGTAAGCCTCAATTCATTATAAGAATTAGGTATGTTAACATTTAAATTAAAAAAAATAAAGACTACACACTAATAATAAAACTATAAAAATACATAAAAACTTGTACTTAAATGCATTATGTTAGAATTCATAAACAAAATAATTCTTCAACATATGTCAATTATAATCATCAGAGTTTTTTATGTGCATTTAACTTTCTAGATTAGGAAAATACCAATCTTTTTAGGACTCACATAGAAGTCAGACAGAGATTTGGATCAAAATCGATTGCCAAAAATGTGACTTAAATGTGTGTATAAATGATACTAGTGTGTGCATAAAGCATGTTTTTTTAACTTCCCTAGTGGGCCAAATAGTCACGCTCATTGTTCCTGCTGCACCCTGCACTGTTGGAGACGGGTTCGGGAGTTAATCCCCAGGGTTAGGGTCATAGTGGGTTTATACACTGTATATAAAATATAATATTAAACAGTGTTTAATTGTTATTAATTTATGTAACGTGCCTTCTCATGTTATGTAACACATACGTTTCATGCTTCGTTTATCTAAGGCACTTTACCATCATGTAACAGTCTCTTTTCGTGTTATATGTTTCTGTAGTGTTAATGTCAATGTATATTATATGTTTTCATAATTTCATTTGTTGTACGTCGCTATTTATGTTATTTTTATTGTTTATATTGACGCCATTTTGGTTTTAATTAATGGTCAATTAGTAGCAATTGAGGGGTACCCCCTAGGGGGCATTCATCTACTTACGTAAATCAAAACAATAGAGGGTTCTAGGCAATATTGCCACTGGTCAATATAACCAATCAGAGCCCTGATTGAGTTATTTTTAAATAAAAACAAATTAATTAACCAATCAAAAGACGTAATTTCATAATAACTATCTGCAACTTTCCAGGAAAGCGTCACTTTTCTGAGAACTGGCAAAGGGGAAAGGTCACGAAATTTTTTTTTTTTTTTTTTTTTTTTTTTTTTGTATTAGTGTGAGTCTGTGTAGATCTTAGTTAGAGGTTAACCATGATTTCATTCAACTGATTATTATCACTTACATGTCTAATGTATTTTATATTTCATTGCATAACAAATAAATCATGGTTATGTCTGCCCAAACTTAACTTTGTGTTGTCTTACTTTATGTCATAGCTGCAGTTCCTAAGTTTAAGGTTAAGGAAATTAATTTCATCCTTATTGAACGAACATTAAAATTATGAATGCAATCATATTTTTAGACACAGAAAAGACAGTCTCTCAGATAAGCAGTGATCGTGTTGTGTTTTAACTGGTTGATTACTGAAGTTAGTTAATTGGAATGTGGGGGATAAAAATGTGTACATTCAAAGTATATGTTTACAGAAGCCATTGCACTCAAGTGTTTACTGATAGGATCTTTATTATAACTTGAAATCATGTTGAGTAAACATGGCATATAATTTACAGGGTTGGAGGTTGAAATGGATACATAAAGGCCTTCTTGGATATTCCCATAAACAAGATATCCTGCAGCTCTCGGGGGCTATAAACAAGGTACCCACCAAGTGGATCCAGGCCAGAGACAGGCTATGGTAGAGAGTCTTAATTCTGATTCATAGATCACATTAGGAAGGTGTCTGGTTAAGTAGCTAGCAATCTGTGGGGTGGTCGTTAAGGAGATACTTACCTGTGGGGGAGTAATTAGTCTATTTATAAACAAGTCTAGAGTCCCACATCCAATTCTGCTGTGTTAGCATTTAAAAGTTTCTAAAAATACACTTACATTCAAACCTAAATTAAGTGTTCTTGAAGGGAAATCATATGACAGGTACTGTAGGTTGCTATATTATCATGACTCCTTATATACATGATACTTATTGATATTTATCAGCAAGACAATATTTTTGCGAGTTGTGTAGTTATTGTGATTTATTAAACTTTATTTTACAAATATGTGTGAGAATAAAATATTTGCAAGCAGACAGTCTCTCTTAATTACGTGAAAATAAAATCTGCAGATTTACAGTTGGTTCAGTAAGCAGGAAATCAATTATAAAATCTTGCATATAAGTACAGAGAAATTTTCAACCTTGTTTTATTTTTGCCCCTTTCACCCTTCCGGGCAAATTTAAAATCGGGCAAATTTTTAAAAAAAGTATGAATTTTTAAGCAGAATTTAAGATTGGGCAAATTTAAAAAGGTGTTTAATTGTTTGCTAGTGTGAAAGGGGAAAATAATCCTGTATACTCTACTAAAAAGTAATACATGTACTTGTTATCCAGTTTTCCCTGGTGACCTCAGTTTTTCTCTTCTTGATATCAAATAATTTAATAATATACTGTATACAGAGGAAATTTTCACCCCCCCTTTATTTTTCGCCCATTTCAACCTATTTATAGGTGGTTAAATTTAAAATGGAGTGAATTAAAAAATACCATATAATTTCTTAAACAGAATTGTGACTGGGTGAATTTAAAACAGGACAAACTTCAAATTTTTACCAAATTTTAACACTGCATGGCCATAATTTTTTATGGTTTGCATCTGGGCTGTTTATTACATCTGACAAAACATTTATTTGGCCACCGACAAGTTCAATCTTTTGTCCTTGACCTTGAAGTTGGCCTACCTTTGTAAAAAAGATAAACCTTGGCCATAAATTTGAAATGATTAGTGCTATGGATTTCATATTCACGTGACAAGACCTTTCTTTGGCTACCATCAATATTTTGATCCTTTAACCTTGACTTTCGAGTTTGTCTTACTATATCTATAATTTTTAAAAATGTAAATTGAATTTTTTTTAATAAAATCCTTTTTTTAATTTTTTTTTAATAATTTGACACTTTTATAAAAATGTGAAACATTAAAACTAACTTATTGCAAAATAATGCCCAGATGTAAGAATGCAAAATCTGATAATCGGAAAAAAAATCGATTTTTTATGCAAATTTACACATACTTTATACCCTTTCAAAACCATTTCTAACATGTCTATGTTAAATTGTTAGTTACTTTTATGTTTTATTTTCTGTGTCACTTTTTTAAACCAAATTAAATAACACACTTTGAAATATTTCATTAATGAATATCTTTTTGCGTGCATTTCTTGAGCTGCAAGAAGGTCTGCAAGTTGCTAAATTCAAGGTCTTCAACTGCTCGGACAAAAAATAATGGTTTGTTGCATTAGACAGAAAGTTGCTGATAAATGTTGCAGGTAAAATATAATGAACATATCAGGGAAGAAACTTACAGGAAGTCACAAAATAAATTTGGTTGTAATGATAGATTTGATTGTAGATATATGCAGGTATAATTTACTTTTTAAATCATTTTTTGATTTGACAAATGTAATGAGGAAATCCTTTATCAGTTTTTTCTTTCTGCAGATAAGAAGTTGTGAATGAATCGCTGGACAAAATAATTAAATAAAGGGATAGTTTACTTTGTACTTTTCCCATTTTCCCCATTGATATATACTTTTATGAAATTGCATCCCCTCCAGCATTTATCAAGTTTCTTAGTGCAAAGTGATATATCGCCTAAGGTTTAAAACTACAAAAGTTTACAGTCATTATTGTTTGTTGCACTTTAGCAGAGAAAAAGAAACAGTTTACTTCAAAAAACTGAATGAAGCATCCTTCATACTTGGAATATGAAGGTTATACACAGGAAAAAATTGAATTGTGGCCTAATGTTTAATTTCTCTGTACTTCTGTAAATGCATAAATGTCATGTGTTATTATAAAAAGTGACAAAGATTTGAAAACAGATTACAAAGGGAAAATGTTTTCTGATGCAGTGCCTCTGTATTCCAGAATTTATGAATGGTTATTTTTATTAATGTAAAGGACATACTTAACGTCACTGCTCATTGTTTTAGTGTGTCAATGAATGGAGTGTAATTACTTTAATGAATCATGAATGAAGGGCTTCAGACTTAAAATATTTTTCAATAAACGTTTTATGCAATTTATAATTATAAAAAAAATTTCTTTAATAAATTGTAGAGATTTCCTTTTAAAATTTTCAGTTAAAACTTACAATTAAAAATTTTGTTAAATCTTTCAGTTGTGAGGAAAATCTCATTGAACATTGATGTGTCATGTTTTGTGTAAAATCTGTGTTTCATGTTTGGTGTTTAATCTTGTCACCTTTTCTCACTTGCTGGCTTCTGTCAAGGTCATTTACACAACTGTCCTTGAAATCTATGTTCCTCGTGTCTGTTTTACTCGTACACTCCCAGGGAAGCAGGGGATTCTATTGACACCCCTGGAAACCTGTCCCCGCCTTGGTTGTGTGACCATTTTTCTGTGATAAGCAATGCCCTGGGGTGACCTTCAGCTGTTGTAGACAACTTTTATGTGGGTTTTGGAACATTTTCATGATAAAATGTTCTGTTTTTACACAGAAGTTAATGCTATGATCTTATGTACAAACATCATGTTGAGAGCTGACTCAAAGCAAACGATGTCTGTCGGCAGAAGAGAAATGACATGTGCTCTGTCTTCCTTCTGTGAAATATTGGACAGAGGTAGAAAAATTTCAGTCAGGTTAAAGTGCAAAAATTTTATTAGGTACTAATGACAATTAGGTAATTAGGTCACCTTTTTAGGGACTGTAAATTAGACAAGACATTGATGTCATTAGACTGGAGAGAGTGTATGGATAAGCTCTTTAGAGGGATGGCATCAGGCATTTGTTTTCTGCCTTCATTTGTTTGTCTCTGTCTGTAGAAGTCACTTTGTCACAATTAGCTGATCTCACAGCCTCTGTACAGGCCTCCATTATCACACTAATTCTCAACAGCTTATGTTTTAGGGAAATTGAGTCCACAGAACTTATTCATTCTGTAGATGATTTCTAAGAAGGAGAATCAATGAATCATACAGCAATTACAAAACTAGTAAGCAAGGTAATTATTTAATGTCAAACCAAAGAACATTTTCCTGATCGCAATTTGTCACATCGATATTGATACTGACTGATACCTTGAGGTCAGTTCAGAGCTTTGAAGTACTTTTGTTGTGTGATTCAATTTAAAGTATGAAATATTTACAGTGAAATCAATGATTCATCATTAATATATGCAACTAATTCAAAAAAATAACATTGTTTGTCATTTCTTTTAACAAATGGAATGAAAAAATAAATAGCACAAAAGATATACATGAAGTTTCTCATTGACTCAGAGGAAGGTGCTTTCTGTGTTGTAAACCTTCATGCTGTTTCCACGGCGACTTCCGGAACTGTCGTATAATGTGTACTTGTAGCGTGTGCTCTTACGTTTCCAGGGGTAATACACAATCTTGATGAAGACCCGGCGGAAGCGCTTGCCAAAAACACAATATAAAATAAAGTTCACTGCGGAGTTGACTGTCACCATCAGGTTACTGATAGAAGTCAAGTGCACGTAATGCAGGCTGCACTGTAACACACCCTGATCAAAGATAGTAAACAGAATGTTGTCTGCGATGGAGGGCAGCTGACAGATGAGAAAGACGACGATCACAGCGATTAACATGATGGTCAGATTGGCCTCCTTGGCTGCGTTCGTACTCATTCTGTTACGAGTCTTTTTCGCGTTTTTCACTGCTCTCATGAGCTGAATGTTGAGTATAGATATGAGGACAAATGGTGCGAGGAACATGACTATCAGATGCAGACAGATGAAATAGACTTTTCTGAAGTCTTTGTTATTTCCGAGGGTTGTAGTCATCACTTCTGGCACTGAACGGTTCAGATTGGGGTTCCAAGTCTCCACAACTGTGAATTCAAAAAATCGAGGCACATTGTAAATAACTGAGCAGACAAAAATGAGAATGATAATTCTCTTGGTGCGGGACTTTGTACATGTGTTGGCTGCCTTGAGGGGGTGACACACGGCGATGTAGCGTTCTATCGTGAAGCCCACGGTCGTGTAAACTGTTCCCGTCTGAGCCACCAGAGCCAGGGGGTACAGATACTGGTTCATGTATTTAGAGGCGAAGAAGTACTCCATTAGTAGAGCCTTCTCCAGGTAAATCGTAGGGAGGGCAAACAACAGAATCATGGCCAGTAACACGCCGGTATCATAGACTGCAAGAGAAATCAAGTAGTACGACGTCGAGCTCCGCATCAGACGGTGTCGCAGAACCAAGATTGCCAGGATGTTCCCGATAATGCCATATGCCGCTATGATGTTTCCCACAATTCCCCAGGTGTAGAACTGAAATGTGATGGCTTTATCATAGATTTCGTAGCAGGAGTCGCTGGGGCCCCCAGTGGGGGTACTGTTTGTCATGTTGGGCGGGGTCATGTTCAGGGTGAGAACGGGTTGGAGTGTGTCCTCCTCCATCCAAGAGGTTTAGATATCAGCTGTAAATAAACAAAAAAACAATGATACATACTGACAACTTCAGGAAAAAGTTATACAGCCTTATAGAGAGATTTCAAATGATGGTTTTTGGAGGAATAAAACTATATGCGATGCATGCAAAAAACTTGACGTTTAAGTGACCTGAATTATGAAACTTATTCAAGGAATAAATATGGCTTTACCACAAGAGTTTGCTTTCTGTAACCATGTTTTCTGTAATTTTGTGAGACTTATGTTCATACTCAAACTCATACTTAGATGACATAATTGATTCCATGATTGCAAATATATGAAACATATTAAGTTCATACTTGTGCATGTGTAACTTTAAATCTGAAATTTGTACTTAAATGGCATTGGTGCTTGAATTCACTTAGATATTCAGATGGCATTCATATTGTAAATCTTAAATGCATACATATATAGTGTTTACTGTAAAACATGACATCAGCTGCTGTAATTGATTTCCATCATCCCCACTTTCTAATTGAAATTGTTGAGCCTTTCTTAACCAAAAAAGTTGTATTGAGTCCGTGTATGTTAAAGAAATCAAATTTCCTAGCCATAAGATGATAAAATATGACGTAGCCTCTCGTGTATGGACTCTAGTATTCTGTGACAAGTACGCCGTGATAAGTTGATCCCTCAACCATCAGTGGGGGATCTGCTGGTCTCGGAGTCCACCACGAGATGTTATTGGTATGCTGAGCAAAGAGACAGTAGATTAAGATGCCTATTTCCTCAGGCTCTCACTCTCTTAGAAGTGAAACCGCACATTTCTGAACAAATAATCTGTTGATGCTCCTACTTTGTCATATTAATATTTTCATCACTCACTGCAGGTGCTGCAATTTGCATGTAGGCTGTCATTTTGGTCATAATAATTAGAAAAACTGGACAAAATTAATCTAGAATTTTTATTAAATGAGTTTGAAATATCCCTTCTGCATGATTTGAGGGCAGGTTTAAGGTTTGTAACCTTGGAATGGAACCTGTAAGAAATCGGGCGAGCACCTGTCATGGCTGCTTTGTCTGGTTCCCTCTAATCTGATAACCTGTAAATCCACGAGCCCTTCATCGTTACGGGCCCTGTTGTAATCCAGTTTATGCGCTCTCTCTAATACTACTTCAGATTGATTGATCTCTGAAGGAGGCCGAAGACCGAGTTTTTTTCACCGTTAACCATGGAAGACAAGATTTTTTTGCGGTAATTATCCTCTCGAATCTGATGCAATTTTTTTCAATTTGTTCATTCCAAGGAAATGTGGATAATGCTTTGTCAAGATCAATCAAGAAAAATAAGAAAATTTAGTTTTTAATTTTTTTTGAAGTTATTAAAGAACAACTTCTAGTAAAATAGAAGTCTTTTGATTTTAGAATTTTAAGTTGGTTAATTGGAGGAGTCAATATGCTAGATGGTAAAGTTATTGACCTCATGGAAAACCCCAGATCACAAAGTGTTATGAGGATTTGGTACAAGTAATACAGTTTGCGAACACTTGTACCTGTATTAAATGTTTTTATAATAAATAGGTAAACAGAGTTAGATGAGATCTCCGTCCAGCTTCTGAGGATTGGGTGCCCACCTGTTCTGAGGTGGTGATTTATTTACCAGAGAAGATCGGCATCCCTTGGAGCCACCAGAGGTCGTGTGGCGTGTCAGAGCCGAAGTCGACCTCCGCGAGTCACGCTTCATTGAACATATCCATGTTCCCGACCCTATCAGGCTCCTGCCAATGGGTTCACCAATTTATATGTTTACTCTCAGCAGTATTTACGTCTGTCAGTGAATACGTGCAGTTATACTTGAGATCTATCTCAGTTTCTTTTATTGTCTATACTTTGTCATACAACACTTAATGAGATGATTACTCGTGCTTCACTGTTTTGTTCGTTGGGTATTATTTTATTTTTCCCATATGTTGTCAAGCATTTGTTAGTCGTGTTTAAATCTTGGCATTAATTTTATTTGTATGTTTTAAGTGAAAGCTTAGTTGAACATTAAGAGTGATTAAGGGAAAGTCCCATTAAATAGATAATTATCAGGAACATCAGCAAATGCTTCAAAATAAAAATGTTCAAAGGGTCACAGGAGGTCATATCAAAGTATTTAGATACCTCTAATGACTATATCAGTTCTCACATCAAACTATTTAAATGTGTCATACGTCTACGATTTGATTGCATAGCTTAAGGGGACTTGTGCATTTGCTGCAAATTAGGCATCACAGCATTTGCATGAAATTGACATGGTATTCATTTGAATCTGCATCATTAATGAAGGCCGTTTTCTTTGAGGGATCAACAATGGTTGATTTTTTTCATTTGAAGAAAAATGAGTCGCATGCGAGGCTGATCAGCAGGAATTAAGCCATCTATCTTATGTGGTCAAAGAACTCGATCAAATTCCAGGAAAGTTCCACTTCATTCTTTACCTCCCATTAATTACGCTTTCTTCTATTATATTCTGAAGCTGTTTTTATCTGAATCAGAAGGTGTGCCATTCAATATAATCCATGTAGCACAGTTCCAATCAAACAAATATGTACAACATGTAGGCGAAACAAAAGCTGAATGAGAAATTGAGCACACATGATTGAAAGCTAGAAGAACCATAGCATGTAATGGTTGCCAATATCTTCATGTACACGGACTAGAGAGGCAGCGTCGTTCTTGTGGAAGGAAGTCGCGATTTCACCGGACACTGCTTCCTGACGGTTTTTCCTACTTTAGACTTTCAGTTTTGCCTTGAACTGTCATGTTAAGAACCGCTTCCTTAGAAGTCAGCCTATCGCTTCAAATTCATCACAACGAACAATCTGAAGACAATCAGGCATTGATTCTTGAGCTTTAATCATTTTATTAAGCAGGGATTTTTTTTACTTTTTCATCTCCAGTCTTAAATGCAAAACAAGGCTTTTAGATTCAATATATATAGTAATAAAATGAGCGAAAAAGCTATTGATTTAGTAATTCGAAAAAAGCAATATTAAATCAAAAACCGTAAAACTTGGACCTTTTATGAGACGTGTTACTGTAATTATTTAAATCCAGCTAACGAGATTTCCAATTCCAAAGGACAATTCCAGAAAAAAAAAATTTACAGCTGACATTTTCATCATAAGATGAAGTGAAAATAGTTCCTGTACATTTTGATTCGTAATATATTTATCTAGTAAAAGATTTTTATGACACATTGAAGATGATGATGATTTTGCACATCTGAATCTGAAACTTTTATACCTCTCTCCTTTTCTCATCTATGCACAAATACTGCATATTAAGGATTTATTCAATAAAAACAAGAAGTTATTAAAATTGATCAAAAAAGTACATGACTCTGTAATGATACAATTTTTAATATCAATGAGAGTAATTGGTTGTCGAGGGTTGTCATTGGGTTTTCAGAGGCAAGGGTTGTCGTCGTGTTATCGGAGGCGGATACACAGGAAGTCCGTCGCGGAGCTCTGCGGAGGATCAGATGTTGTCTCCCCAGCTGTCTCGGACACCAGGACAGCTCTATTTCGCCACCACAATCCAGCATTAACATTTTTTATGTGCCTATAGATTTTTTTTTACCATGTGTCTAATGGAGCGAGAAAAGGCATAATGAAATCAAGCCCTAAATGGAGAATTCATTGCAGATATAAATGGCCTGATCACATTGAGGGATTGAGAAGGCAGTGGGGGGATTAGATAGGAAATTACCTGTACTGTATCAATAACACTCGTAACATTAAACTACAGGCGAAAATGTGTTTAAAAAATATATAGCATTATCTAATATGAGAATATAGGGAAAAAAAGTGGGATTACTTAGTGGTAGTCAATTAATAGATTATTGTTTAAGTTGAAAGGTTAACGCATGCTGATAAAATTGACGGCGATGAGATATATGAAGTCCAATCACCCCTGGTTTATTTACAAGGTTTTTTTACCGTGATGATTATTTTGAGGGGTTATCTGGCTCCCCGGGAGTCAGGGATCACATTTCACAGGAATGTTACACATCTGCCTTCCTATCACAAATAATCGTTAAACACAGCAAAATATTGACAGTTCCAGGTCCATGTAAGAAGGAGTGATTTATAGGCAAAAAAACGGAATCAACAGGTGGACTTACTGTGGTGGAATAGCAACTCATTTTTATTTCTTGTAAAGTTTGCAAAACAGAATGTAGATATTTTTTTTTATTTTGATTTAATGAAATTTTTTCTCTATTTAAAATTTTTCTTCAAGAATTTTCAAGTAAATTTGGATTAGAAATAAAATTACTTGAAAATAGGACTTACAGGTATTTTTAATTTCAGAGAAAGAGAGACTGAACATTTCTTTGTGATTAATTGCAATCAAGCCTTTGTAGTTTAATTTTAAGAGTTTTGATTAAAATGGTTTTATGAATGACCACAAAATAGGTTTTTTTTTTAAATTAGCCACTTTGAAGTGCTGAAGTCTGCAGAGGTAAAATATTTTCTGATGATCTGCAATCTGACCCTAACCACATAAAAACAAATGTAAATGTTTGGGCAAATGATGATTTTACCATAAAAGCACAGAACTTCAATTAAAGCCCAACTGTTAGACACAAACTTAAATCAGAGAACTTAAGGTTAGATCCAGAGAAGGTTGATACACACAGGTAATTGTCTGATTAATAGACATTAAAGCCTGTTAACTTACAATTACTCTAGTGAAATCTCTCCTTATTCTTTTAATGCAAGAATCGGGCTCCAGCTACTGACATAGAAGTTAAGGGAATTGCTTCACTGGCCCAAGGCCTGGAAATGGCTGGAATGGACATTATTAAAAAGCCATCTAACTAGATTTATTTAAAGATTAAGGATAAACCTTTCATTTCCTAAAACCTCTTAAAATCCTTTCTTTTGTCCAGTCATCAGAAGGTGTAAGTTTTATGATCATGTAAATGATTTATGTTGCTGTTTATTTGTACGATTTATTGAGAGAGAAATGTATCATAAAAATCTGACGCAAATTGTTTCTGAAGATTAAATTTGATTCTAGTTTAGCAGAAATCCCTGCTGAGAATGAAACACAGTAAACACATTAGTAACCACTTAATTGATGTCTATATTATTTGATAAATACTATTATATTTGATTTTTAAAATATCGCACTGGGAATTCAGTGGGCTTATATTTATCGCATGTGCAATATTTAACCCAGTTATTGAGGAATTTCTCATCAATTGGTGATGTAAGAGTACTGATTAAAGGATAGACTGTTTTGAATCTTTATGACCAATGCAATATGTGTGGAGAGAGACACTTGGTCTTAATTTTCCAGAAATAAATATGTTTACTCCAGAGTAGATTAAATTCAATTCAGACCCCTCTCAGACAAAACTGATTTTCATTTGCTTTCTCTGGCTGATTGAACCTCATCCTATCTGGGTTTATTTTTTCTTAATTTTTGCTTTTTTCATCCATTTGCTAAAAAAATTTAATTTCTGCTTTCTAATTTAAACCTAATTTTATTAAGACTCTCTCAAAATCTTCCTTCTATCTCTATAAAAGTCAACGCGAGTCCTCAGCTGGGAGCTTTTGTTATAGAATCTCTTTTTTCTACTCCTTTGAGATGTGATGTTTTTTACAAGATGGTTTTATTTAAAAGCTCATTTGTCAAGTGATAGAAGTGGAGAATTCAGTTTCATTTGATATCGGCTAGTGACCAGCTTCTTAATAAGACTTAGAGATGTAACATTTGTATAGCCACCATTGTGACTAATGAGTTCCTCTCTTGTCACAAGGAATACAAAGCACAAAACTCTGAATAGAGACGTCAGGCATACCACAAGATAGATGGGAGATTCAAGATACTTGTAAATAAAAATGAAATATTGGGATTTTGTGGAGTCTTTGTAATGTAAATTAATTGTGAAAAGGAAAAGCTAATGCACTGTGGTGGATTATTGAAGACTTTGAATCTTCAGAAAAAATATCACGACAGCCAGAAAATGCTAAAATGGCTTTTAGAAAATTATGACCAATTTAAAATTGTTCCTGCAGCCAGTTTTCTTAAATTAAATTTAAAAATAAAATAAGAAAAGTTATGAATTAATCGTGCATTCCTGTTAGAGTATACAAAAAAATTTAAAAAATTAATGAAATTGAAAAAGAAATTTTAAAAAGTATATAGAAGACAATATTTTTGCAAAAGTTCATTAAATTAATCACACATTAAACACTTACCAAATTATCTACGAAGAATCACTCATTGGTTAAGAATTCCAGAAAAACAATCAAATAAGTTGCACTTGATGATGCATCATCGTAAACCCATAAAAAATAAACAAATGTTTTTACAATGCAGCAACAGCTACTAGTATAAATAGATAGTAAGTCAATCAGATGTATTTATGGACCTGCCGTTTGTGATAGGGGCATCCCTCAAATTGCACCTATCTGTGAGAAGCTTTCAGCCATCCACTGAATGCTGGTGTGTGATTGGTGGAAAGCTGATCAGATCTTTGTTATTGATTTCAAAAGACTTAGCATGTTCCTTTTTACCAATGGAAAAGAAAACTTCAATTTTTATATATTGATTTTTTTTTCCATTCTGTATTTTGTTTTATTCCTTTCTTATGAATTAATTAAATTTTTTTTATTTTAATATTAGTTACAGGTGAATTCTGTGCAAAAAAATTTTTCATTACTTAAATTTCAGTAATTATTGAATTGCAAAACAAACTGATTTATATTGAACTCATTCTTGCAACCTGGCTGGCTATTTTATAAGGATAAGTTAAAAGCTTGTTTCACTCGCTTTTTGAATACTAGATTCTGTTCTTTTTGCGAATTTATGAGTTCCTGACCTATTTAAGGCTGCAAATTCCATGTTAGTGAATTAATTTAAAGAATACAACTTTATTTCATGCTAGTTCTTTCATTTTTCTTGTAATGGTTGACAGTTAACACAAAATATCAACCGACAGGATAAAAAGATTTTCTGTCATCTTGGCCCGTAAAAATAAAAATGGCCTCCAGAAATAAAGGATGTTGTTTGTGTGTACCCTCATAATTTTATGTTATTTTGAAGTTTTTGATATTTCTGTCAATTAAGAAACACTAATTAAGACTTGTGTGGCTGATTATTTGTGGGGAACTTTGAAGGTCATTCCCCCTTTTCTGTCGGAAGGTCCATACCCCAGGGATCTACAATCTGTGCAGGTCTTTTGTTTGGGAAAAGAAAAACAAAGGATATATCTGATTACCTGCTTGGTCACAACAGTTAATTATCATAAAAATTCAGGGATGTCCAAATCCAGCTTTAGCTGATGCAAATGAACCATAGATACATGAAGAACATGAAGAATTAATGATACATGAATTTAAAGCTAACATTATATACATTGTACTAATAATTTGCATATATAACAAATGCAGCAATTAATTTACAAAAACTGTAAATTAGTGCATTTAGGACCTTGGAGCCAATTTTCAGAAGTCTCTTTCTTTGACCCTTGAGCATATAGCAGACAAACTAACATGGTAATATTGGGCTATGAATCTTCTTTTATCCTAAATTTAAAATTTCTGTATCCTACAGGTCTCTTATAAGATTAACCTCCAAGGTGTGACAAGTTTTATCATTCAAGTATAATGTACATCTAATAAACTAGGGGGATCCTCTTTCTTTTATTGTTGTAAATTATACAAAAACTTTAAAATTGATTTGAGACATATTTTATTCAACAGAGGAAATTGAAATAATATCAATAGTGTATAATTTTTGATATTTGTGATATCAATTTAACCAATATTGTTTGCAAAGAGATTTACTTTATTACTTCAAAATAAAACAATACGTGTATTTCATTATGCACATGTAAGTAAACTGTTGTTTACAAAGACATAATAATTGTCAAATGATATTGTTCAAAAGAATTACAGTAAATTGCTTAAGATCTAAGCAATTTTTTTTTTCTGTTTCATGTTGTAGAATCATCAGAATTAAGAGAAATTTAGAAATGTGCTGTTCTTTTGGACTTGACATGTATGTTACAACTTTGTGACAAGGTGTATTCAAACATCTGACAAATATGGAATCTAAGATATTGATTGTGTGTACTACAATGGATGGCCGCTATGTTTTATTTACTTTAATTCTTGGGGACCAAGAAATTGACGGATCAGGAAATATAGTCAGCTGTCAATCAACTGGTCGAAAAGTATCTCTGGTCTGTCAATTTAATCCCAGCATCTAAAGCATGGACAGAAAAAGAGCAAAATAACTAGAAAAAATAACTCGCATAACATTTTATGAGGAAATGTTTAAACAATAGATTCTGTAATTCTTTAACACCAGTGCTAGATTTAATGAAAGCTAATTAATTAAGGGTGCTGATAGTCATCCCAACATCAACCCCAGCCCACCCAAACCCCACAAATATAAAATAACAAAACAAAAAAAATCTAACTATGCCTTGATACCTTGAGGCCAAAGGCTGAGGTGAACCAATATTTGACCATGTCTGTACATGTATTGTCATGACCAAACCAAATTCAAAATTCAGAAATCATTTTATTGAGTGATAAAGAATTTAACATAATATATAGCATTTTCCCCATAATTAATAACTTTTACAATATGATTAAACACCTGAATAAACCCAATTTTGAGGTAATTAAACTCTTACATACATCTCAGGAAAAAAGAGTCTGGACCAATCAGAGAGCATTAGGTTTCCTGATCATTTAATAATATATACTGTGAAATGACTTATTTTTGTGGGGGATTAATTTTCACCCAAGGATGCTTTTGTTTTCGTGGTATGAAAAGTTTACAGACGGACAGACACGAATTTACAAAATGTGATCAGTTTAGCCTTCGGCTCAGGTGAGCTAAAAATCTAACTATGTCTTGATACCAGCTTGAAGTAGCCTGTAATGTAAATTTTCATATGACTACCTTAAAACACACACATCTACATTATAAAAAGTTCTTCATCCATGAAATCAAATCCCCAAAGGCTGAGGTGAACCAACATTTTTTTCTGACCAAACCAAACAAAATTCAGAAATCGCATTTTTCCCCCAATTATTAATTATGATTAAACACTGAATAAACCCAATGAAAATATGTGATTTTACAGTAGTATTTAAAAATGATTAGAGATAGAAAAATGATCAGATAAGCATGATGTTGCAGCAAGGCTCCCCTGTTGTTTTATGAAAACATTTCTAGTTAGAATGGATTTCCCTGGATGTGAATGGTGACTTGATTATATAATTAAAAAGTAATTGGTGATGTCATAGGAGACATGGCTTTCTGATCACTTTTATCCTTGATGAGAAATTGTTGTGAATTTCTCAAATAGGTTACACCAATAAAAGTTCAATTATCTATAAAAAGAATCGCAGGAGCTTATAGGATCGTATTGATCCTACGTCAGCTCACTAGAGCTGTAACAGTGTAGGCTGGGAGAGAAGGAAAAAACGGGACCCGCTGCTTGATGTGGTCACAGAAAGAATTAAAACAGGGAATAATCAGTTGTATTTAATACTGGGTTTTAACAATTCAGTTGTAATGAATTTTAACTTGTTTATGCCCCACTGTGTTTATGGCTGGTTCTATAGTATTTGTCATGTCAGCCCCTCTCTTTCAATCTTTCTTTCTGTTGAACTTAAAAATTTAGTTAAGTTTTCAAGAAATTGTTTGATTGAACTTCATGTTTTCTACATTTTGATAAGAGCTGTTGAATTGCATCAGATTTTTGGACTTTGACCTTTCCTTTTACATTGACCTCTCTTTTCTTAATTTTATGTCAAATCATGATATTTTTATCAAACTTCATATACTGATACATACTTTAATAAGCTATTCCTCAGCAACAATATTTTTATTATGCCATGAATGTGACCAGGGCATATAGTGTTTGTCCTTGTTTTCCGTCATTCCATCCTTCCTTCTATTGCGCTTTGATTTTAGCTCAGTTAAAAGTTAAGTTTCAAAGGAACTATTCAAGATATTTTTATCAAACTTCTTATTCAAATTAATATTTACAAGAGCTGTGCAACTGCATCAACATTTTTTGACATTGACAATTCCTTTGACCTTAACCTCACTTTTCTTAAAATAGCATTAAGCAATTTAAGCTCAGTTTTAAAGATACCATTCAAGATTATAAGTGTAATTAAACTTCATATAACTCCTGTAAGCTATTCAACTGCATCAAAAAATTTTGACCTTGACCTTTCCTTTGGCCTTGACCTCATCTGTCTGAAATTAGTGTATTATTTATTTGAAATATACCTACATTACTAGTATCCACTGTGCATTTGCTTTTTCAGAAAGAAAAACAGATTTTTATTTTTGAAGGAGTCAATTTTCATGCTAATTTTGCTATTGCTTTTTTAATCATTTTTAGTGAAGATACAGCAGAGAATTCAACCAAGTGTGACAAAGGGAAAACCCAGAAATGTCCCTCAGCTGTTATGGTCACTGAAGCGAGGATGAGGGATGATATCAAGTCCACCTATGTTGTAAGTCAGTTCCTCCCATACTTATGTTGTAAGTTGTTCACCCTCCCACACCTATGTTGTAAGTTGTCCCCCCTCTCACACCTATGTTGTAAGTTTTTCCCAATCCCACACCTATGTTGTAAGTTGTCCATTCCCTCCCACACCTATGTTGTAAGTTGTTCCTCCACACACACCTATGTTGTAAGTTGTCCCCCTCCCACACACCTATGTTGTAAGTTGTTCCCCCTCCCACACACCTATGTTGTAAGTTGTTCCCCCTCCCACACACCTATGCTGTAAGTTGTTCACCCTCCCACACCTATGTTGTAAGTTGTTCCTCCACGCACACCTATGTTGTAAGTTTTCCCCCCTTACACATATGTTGTAAGTTGTTCCTCCACACACACCTATGTTGTAAGTTGTTCCTCCACACACACCTATGTTGTAAGTTGTCCCCCCTTACACATATTTTGTAAGTTGTTCCCCCTCCCACACACCTATGTTATAAGTTGTTCCCCCTCCCACACATCTATGTTGTAAGTTGTTCCCCCTCCCACACCTATGTTGTAAGTTGTTCCTCCACACACACCTATGTTGTAAGTTGTCCCCCCTCCCACACACCTATGTTGTAAAATGTTCCCATCCCACACCTTTGTTGTAAGTTGTTTCCTCACATACCTATATTGTAAGTTGTTCCCACACACACCTATGTTGTTAGTTTTTTGTTTGTTTTTTTTTTTATTTCATTTTTCACATTTATATCAAACAAGTATATACAAAAGTATATTCACATATATATCTTCATTCAAGTACCTATTATAGATAGCACATACAGGTATCAAATTAACATAAAGACATTCACATACACATGTTCACATTTAATTTAACACATGTGAAAGTTGTTTTTATATAGGATAGAAAAGGGAGGGGGAAAAGAAAGAGAGAAAGATAAAAGAACAGTCGAGCGAAAAACAAACAACAACAAAAAATATATAGGGGCATAGTGTTGTTTTTTCTTTACACTAAGGGGGGTGTGAAATTAACATTTGTTTCTTCAAGAATCTTTCCACAATAATTGTTTTTAGAGTCATTATACTTAGAACAGAAGGATTTTTATACTTAGTTGAAAAAATATAATTCTTAGTTATCAGTGTCATCAAATTTTGCATTTTATGGACATTCTTATTCTTATGTTTGCCAAATAATATTGTTGTTCTGTCAAAAATTACAGATATATTAAACTTACACAAAAACCACTCTTTAATATCACTCCTATGTTGTTAGTTGTCTCCCCCTCCCACACCTATGTTGTAAGCTCAGCAGTCCAGTCCAATACGAAAATTCGTAATATTACGAAAAAACGTAAGATTACAAGAAAGCGTAATATTACAAGTTATCGTGATATAAAACTTATATTACAATATTTTGTAATGTTGTTTTTACGCGTAATATCATGTAAGAGACTATATTATGAGTTTACGTAAGAAGACAAATTCAAGCATTTCAAGAAATTGAGTGGCGGGTAGCAAAGTATACGTTTACTACGAGATGTCACGAGCAATAACTTGTACGATCAGATTTGAATTCTGTGTATTTCAATGAGAATGGCATGAACAGTTGAATTATGAGACGAGGGTGTGATTTTTAGGGTAGACTTCGCAAGAAAAGTATGTGATTGCCAACGCGACATGCTTAAGCGATATTGAAATTTACTGGAAAATTGATCTTATCCTTGGGAAAATTCCTATAAAAGAATAATAAAGGAAATTGTCCATATATTGAAAGGCTTTCTGATAGGCATAACTGACCAAAACCGCGTGCTATCAGTAGCCGTGGAATCATATATTCACGTCACACTTTGCTACCCACCACTCAATTTCTTGCAATGCTTGAATTTGTCTTGGAAAACTCGTAATATAGCTAGTCTCTTACAATCTGCTATATTATGCGTATTCGTAATTTAACTACATTACGAAAAATTGTAATATAAGTTTTATATTACACCTAATCTTACGTTTTTTCGTAATATTACGAATTTTCGTATTGGACTGGACTGCTCAGTTTTGGAAAACTATACTGCTCATTTCATACCTTTCTGTTCATTTCAATTCATTTCTCATCTTTTGTGTGATGTGTCATGATTCAAGTTTTCCCACTTAAAGAATATTTTCTTATTTTTATTTTTTAAAATAATTTTTTTTCCTTCAACACGGATTATTTTGTTAGTGTAAAGTTTCTAAAAATGAGTTACTGCGTAAGCCCTTACTGAGATATAAAGTGTGCTCCCAGTGGCATTGTCAGTTTGTTGTATTTTATCAATTTAGTGCGATGGTCTGTTACTTAGTTTATGTATTGGGTGATTCCTGAAATCAATAACAATCACACATGGTGATTTACTGTGTCATTGGTGGGGGCCTGTTTTGACATTGCTAATCATATGGTGTCAGAATTTAGACCCCTGTCAATCAGGATAGAATTTATTGGAAGAAAAATATGCCTTATTTCCTAATGGTCCAGCATGAGTGTGATAGCGTGTCTGGTTTACATAGGTCTATAGGGTTTGTGTGAATGCTGTTCTACTGTAATGAAACAATATTTGTAACTGATGTTTTCAAGTTTTAAAACTACCTTAAAGAGATTCATATGTGTTGAAGTATAATTTTTAAATATACTTTTCACTTAGTAGTTTGAATTTGTCATGTATTCAAATTTATCATGAATATGCTTGTAAATTGAGAGGAGAAATATAATGAAATTATTTTTCCCAATATATTATACAATATCAACATTTTTAAAAATCAAAATCTTTGCAAAGCATTGACAATTGATGAATGGATGGAAATGACACTTCTAAGATGACTATATTTATTTATGGTAATAACGATGAAAGAAATGCCAGAATGTGCTGATGGGAGATACTTATTTGGGTTGAAAAATTTAGTTTACTACAGCATCAGTTTCATTAACAAAAGACTTTAATTTTTCCTTCTGGAAATCTACAACAGAGACACCTGAGCCAGGTGTGACATTTGTCAGGTAGACACTAAAGGTCTCGGATCAGTCGCAGGGTGTTACAGTCTTGACGTCTACTGTGCTTCAAATACACCTCTCCGCGGCTCTTGATTAGCTGACTTCCTGTTCCTAGCTATAATTAGTGTCAGCGGATTGGAGAGTCGCTTTTAGCTCACAATGAGACTCACTGGTCCATATTTTACTTCCTGCTTTCTGTGCCTCTTTAGGATTTTAATTAAAGATAAAAATGATAGAAATTCAAAATAAATTTAAATATCTATGCTGTATAATTAATATCCCAACTTCACTGTCATGACCCAAATTGCCACTTCTGTTTTTAAGGAAAAGAAATATCCTGCTCTATTAAATTTGATGGCATTTTTGCACTTTTTTCTATGCATGTATTTATTTTCCAACTCTAGTGTTTTCAACAAGAGTATTTAATGAAGTAGGAAATGTTCTTGTTCTATGGCTAATCCTAGAGTTGACAGAGCCACATTGATTTGTTACTGTTCGTGAATTTGACGTGTAGGTCTATAATTTCTTCACATTAACAACTTTTAATAGTTGTTAAAAACAGAATGTATAACAGGTAAACAATATGCTCAATGAACATATTTTTAAATTGAGGAATATTTGTTTACTGAGATGGTTGGAGGCTCTGGAAGACTGTCTTTTTGTGTTGCTACATATAGATAATTTTAAGATGACATTAAACCAGATCCAATGCTCTGTTTTCAATAAAATAGGTTAAATTAAATTTGATGTTAAGTTTCCAGCAGTCTATAGATACTTGATATTCCAAATAAAATTGTTATCACTTTCAAAAATATATTGAATGAATCTACACTTTTTATTTCTATATTGAATTAGTTTTTTGCCTCTGATCATTCAACTAGGCCAAAATAAAATTATTGTTTGTTTGGAATTGCCTCCTGCCTCATTGAAATGCCCCCTCCTGAAAAATTTTATTGACCAAAAGTAGGAAGATTTTTAGCTCTTCTGAGCCAAAGGCTCAAAGAGCTAATGCTATGGCCATTTGTGCGTCGTGCGGTGTGCGTTAACTTTTTAGAATATGGGCCATAACTCAAGAAACCCTTGGCCAATCAGTGTCAAATTTGTCACAGGGTATCCTTGGCCCAAGGGCTACCATTTATACTAAAATAAGGGTTGGGACCCTAAAACAAGGGGAGATAATCAGGAAAACAAAACCGAAAGTACTGGTTGCAAAAAAATCTTCTTCTCCAGAACCACCAGGCAGATTTTCACCAAACTTACATACAATGATCAGGATATGTTGAAGATTAAAAATTGTTCTAGGCATGACCCTGGGGCAAAGGGCGTGGTCTGAAGGTCACTTCAAAGTTGACCTAAATTTACAATTAATGAAAATGTCTATATTTTGCTCACTATAAGGACTAGGATCATCAAATCTTGTAAGTAGATGCATCTTAGGACTTCACATAATGTTAATTCAAAAGTAGGTAACGGTGACCTACTTTTTTTAATTTTGCGGGCATTTGTTTTCAAATTGATTTGAAGGCATATTTAGGACACTTTAAGGCTAATGATCATCAAACTTTGTCAGTTGATGCATCTTAGGTCCAACTTAAAAGTAGGTCACCGTGACCTACTTTTTGAACTTTATGACTTAACCCTTTTTAAAACATTTCATCCCATTATTTCAGACACTGAGAGGGTGTAACTTGTAAGTTGATGCATCTTGGGACCTTAAAACATATTTAAGTAAAAGTAGGTCACTGTGACCTACTTTAAGAATTTTGCAGGCATTTGTTTTCAAATTGTTTAAAAGGCATATTTTAATTACCTTCAGACCAATGATCATCAAACTTGGTCAGCTGATGCATCTTGGGACTCTAAAAAATGTCGACCAAAATGTAGGTCACTGTGACCTACTTTTGACATTTTATGGCTATATTTCAGTATCTGAGGTATTTATTGGCTTAGAATCATCAAACTTTGTGAGTTGATGCATCTTGGGTTTTCGGAGAGTGACGACCAAAAATTAGGTCATGGTGACCTACTTTCAATATTTATGGCTATATTTATGTATCTCCAGTACTTATCGGCTTAGAATCATCAAACTTTGTCAGTTGATGCATCTTGGGTTTTTTTCGACCAAAAAGTAGGTCACGGTGACCTACTTTTGACATTTAATGGCTAGATTTATGTATTTCTGGTACTTATCGGTTTAGAATCATCAAACTTTGTTAGTTTATGCCTCTTGGGTTTTCAAGAATGTGACCAAAAAGGAGGTCACAGTGACCTACTTTTGAATATCTCAGGTATTTATTGGCTTAGAATTATCAAACTTGGTCAGCAGATGCATCTTAGGCCTCTGATAAATGTCAACCAAAAATTAGGTCACGATGACCTACTTTTGACATTTAATGGCTATATTTAAGTATCTCCAGTACTTATCGGCTTAGAATCATCAAACTTTGTCAGTTGATGCATCTTGGGTTTTTATCGACCACAAAGTAGGTCACGGTGACCTATGACATTTTATGGCTATATTTGAGTATTTTTTATTGGCTTAGAATCATCAAACTTTGTTAGTTTATGCCTCTTGGGTTTTCAGAGAATGTCGAACAAAAAGTAGGTCACAGTGACATACTTTTCAATATCTCAGGTATTTATTGGCTTAGAATCATCAAACTTTGTAAGTTGATGCATCTTGGGTTTTCCAAGAATGTAGACCAAAAAGTAGGTCAAGGTGACCTACTTTTGAATATCTCAAATACATATTGGCTTAGAATCTTCAATCTTAGTTTGTCTATTAATGCATCTTGAGTCCTCAGAAATCTTCAATCTTAAAGTAGGTCACCATGACCTACTCATGTTTTTTTTAATAGCTTTATTAAAATATCTTCAGTCCTAATTGGCTAAGAATCATTTAACTTTTTATCAGTTGATGCAACTTAGGTTTTAGGATATTTAGGGTTAGAGGCTTCAAATACAAGTGATAGGTTGTACAATTTATCAGAAGAGCGATTCAAGGCCCTTGGGCCTCTTGTTTTTTATTTTGATAATCATTTTTTTTTTTTTTTTTTGCCTCTTATTACATGCACCACACAAAACAATGAAATGTAGTGTCAGATCTATGCAAAATTAAGTTTCTTTGTTGATTGTAGATACTTGTTTCATTTAAAGTCAGAAAATGTATTTACAGTTTACTGAGATTTTTATCAAAAATTTAAAATTTATCTTCAATTTTGAAACAAATTAATTTCCCTCCCTCCCTCCTGTGTCTGAAACCCTTCAGGCGGCAATTCCAAACTAACATTAAGGATGGCCCTACCCGGTGAATATAGCAGTTTTTATCTCACCTCGATGAAGTCAAGATGAGCTTATGCTATACCCCTGGCGTCAGCAGTAGTGTCAGAATCCTGATTTAATTTAAGAGCAAGTCCATTACCAAGTAACTATAAGCCCTACCTGGACCAAACTTGCATGGATGATGCATCTAGGGATAGACACTTATAGACTTGCTTCAGATGCTGGATCTGACCTACATTTTCCAGATGAGTGACCAGGAGAATGTAGAAGAGTAAATTTTACCCATACTTTAACCAAATTAGTATAGATGGTGTATCTACTGACATCCAGACCAGCTTTGGATGCTGAGTCTGACAAACATTTTCATAATGAGTGACCAGGAGTTAAATTTTTGGACTACATTTAAAAGTTATGGTTGTTATGATGAAATTTGCATGGATGATGAATCTTAGAATGGTCAATTCCAGACTTGCTCCAAATGTTTGAACTCACAGAAATTGTTCTTGGTAAGTGAATAAGTTTTTAAAGCAGGTCCATTCTCAAGTATGTGGGTTATAATTAAACTAAAATTGCATGGATATTGATCTCAGGATGAACTCATGCACTCACTTACTAGAGAAAAAAAAATATAAAAAAAGATATTTGCCTTACTGATATACATTTGTCGAAATAAGCTTATGTTTTTCATTTCTGAACATTCTAAGAAACTGAAAATTTGTGCACTCTTTTTAAAACCCACTCTTTGACTTAATTAGTCTAGGTCACACATTTCTAAATAACTATTTATATTACTTGTTATGGCTGTAACTTTAATTTGCTCACTTTATCGAGCCTTGTCACGTAAACATCAGTAGTATGGATACCTGTACATCAAAGAAAGTGGTCATGTCATTAATTAAATCACACGTTAGACATTGGTTTTAGCACTGACATTTAATGTTCAGTATTCATAGGAAGAAAAAGGATTTTCTCAGATTATCTTTATCTATGGATTAACTCTTTGTATTTTTATCTGTTCAAAAAGAATAGAAGTGAGGCAGACTTAAGTTTATTTACACTTTATTAGACTATGTTTATTTCCATATGCTAATATGACTAACTTTCACAATTCCAATATTAAAATTATCAAGTTTAATTACTATCATATTATTTAAAGATTATTAAGATGTCAGTTTGGTTTATTAAAATCATTGACATTCAATTTATCAAAAGCATTTGTAAGGTTAGTAAGGCTTTTAGCTTGCCTGGTCCAAGGAGCCTTTCTGTGTAGGGTATTTTGAGTGGGGGTACATATGAAATAAAAGTAAGATAAGGACCCAGAGGTTTCCTACTGATACTTATCTTTCAGGGGGAGATGCATGTCAGTGAGCAAGGTAGTCCCTGCTCCTATATGTTTATAGTTCTGTGATGTATCTCTTTTTTATGTTTTTTGTTTCTTTTCTTTTTGTTTAATAAAATCATTGATGGAAACAAATATTTTGGTTGACTTGCCTCAAAGCATAATAGTGTTTTTCCAAATAAAGTTTATTTTTTTGCTTGATGACCTTGATGAGTTTTGAAAATATTTATTTTGAATTTGGCTGGATGAAAATATGTCATAGGATTGCATTTAAATAGATGAATCAGTTGTGCCTTGTTTGCTGTAAATATCAGTTGCATCATAACAAATCAAGATACAATTGAAGAGACTTCAAAGTTCCATTACTCATTTCGTTCTTGGTACTGTTTTAGAGCCAGTTATTAATTTGCCTTAAAGGTACTGTAACTACTGTTATATGTGCTCATTTGAATTCCTACACCACAGCATTGTCAATACTCTTTCAATAGGCATCTTTATGAATGTTGCAAATTCATTCTGTAAATCTATTCCTTGTATTTTCTGAAGATTTAAATTTCAAAGAGATAAAGAATATAAATTCCAAAAAATATCTTCATCAGATGTTTTTCTCTTTGACTGTTTTGAATTTTGGACACCTTGTTGGTGTATGGATGTTGCTGACACAGAAGTGAGATCTGCACCGTGCTATGATTGAGGCTGCTTCCTGTAATAGCCTGCGGAACAAGTTTAATGTCTTATGTAATGTTCTCAATATCTCAGACACTGTCAATTACCACAGAACGTCAACAAAATTCGATCACTTTACTGTTATTAAAGGACCAAAAATATAGCTTAAAGGACACAAAAAATAGTTTGTGGGAATCCGTGACCTTGAACAGAGAGAGAGATGAAAGTAAAGGTCAAAAGCAAACAAGTTCCATCGTCCTATTTTCTGTAAGCCTTATGAAGATGTTCATTTAAAAAATAATTGAAAAATATTATTTTTCTGAATTCTGCTACACTGCTTTTTTAACATATTTTATAATGGTAACCAACAAAGGCATGGGTTGCTTTGTTTCATTTTGACTTGTATACTATTAATATAAATGAATACTACTTTTGAAACTTTGAAAAAATGTATTTTATATTTTTTAGCAACTAATGAAAGAGTTAGAATCAGAAAGAGAGAGGAGATGGAAAGCTGAGCAGGCTAGCAAGAAATTACTGAACCATATACAGACTTTACAGGGAAAAGGTAAACTTAACAGGGGAAATTTAACCCACAAGTAAACTTAGCAATAAGGTAAACTTAACAGGGGAAAGTTAACCCACAAGTAAACTTAGCAATAAGGTAAACTTAACAGGGGAAAGTTAACCCACTAGTAAACATAACAGGGGAAAGTTATCCAACTATTAAACTTTACAGGGGAAGGTTAATCCACAAGTAAACTTAACAGGGGAAAGCTAACCCACAAATAAACTTAACAGGGGAATGTTTATCCACAAGTAAACTTAACAGGGTAAAGCTAACCCACAAGTAAACTTAACAGGGGAAGGTTAATCCACAAGTAAACTTAACAGGGGAAAGTTAACCCATATGTAAACTTAACAGGGGAAAGTTAATCCACAAGTAAACTTACCAAATAAAGGAAAAACCCTGCCACATGAGATGTAAATTTTACTTGTGTGATATATATTTGCAGGATAAACAAAGGAAATTTTAAAAGAATAGTTGGGATTACCTAGGCTTTGTGTAGTTTCTCAGGGGGTTAGAATAGACAAATGATTTGCCAGCTATACAATCTATAATTTTAAAAAGAAGTAACTTTTCCAAAGAAAAAGTGAGTTAATATCAGAGCTAACAATCATTTTAACAAGGAAAAGTAAATAAACAAACTGATTTCTTATATCATATGTAGGTACTTCACCTTTACGGTATCCTCAGTATCCCCCGACTACTGACCTGCCTTGACCCTAAGATGACCTTTGTAATGACAGGTGCCCCCTTTTATTGCTATTAATATCTGGTGGATTTTTCTATTGTATATGACTTTTGGGTCTTCTGATTTGATTGGAAATGAAATCAACAAATAAATAAAACTAAAGTCAGGATGTGAGACAAAGACAAGCAGTTTCATTTCCCGGCTATAAGTGTTATCTATAGAAGTATGTATTACAATCAACACTTACAGGAAACCTTGTCTTTTGTGTGCAGGTTTAAAAAATAACTCGCAAAATGGTAGATTCTTGTGAAACCTTTTCAATATCTTCTATTTCCTTGATTATATTCCTGGCTATCACAATATGACCTTGACTGTTTGTCCATTCACCAATATAAAAACATCTCCAGCAAATTGGTTTACTTTAAATAACAAAAGGTTATGAATTAATTCTTTTACCAAAGATTTATCATTATTATCTTTGCAATATTTAATGTCACCTATTTATATCCAAGTACATGTAATTTTGACCTTTGAGACATGACCTTGAGTTGAGAGAAGACACCCTTTCATTGTTAGCAATATTGATGGGTAGATGTAATGGGGTAAAACTTAACTCAAATGAACAGATCATGTCTAACCCAGCTCTGCTTGTGGCACTTAAAGAGGAGCAATATTAACTCAAACTTTACTGGAATGTACATAGCGGGGCAAAACTGATGCAAACCTGAGTATATTAAACAAAGTATGAAAAGAAGGACAGACATCTGAGTGTAACAAAGTGGGGAAAGACTGATAGGAAACCTAATACATGTACCTGACATAGTGAGGCAAGCTTGCTATATGCCTGATTGTTATAGAATACATTTCAATCACAATCAATATAATTTTGAATTGAAACAAAAATTTATGAAATTCTGGTAGAATTGGGGCTAAAGTTACAAACATGAGTATAAAGACATTGTGAAACAAGACTGATACAGATTTTAATGTCTGACAAATATTTGTATTTTTCCTGTCTATTTCATTGATTTCAGATACAGTAGTAGATGGGGGTGGTAATTAGTTTAAATTTTATTTGAACGTTCACATTTTTACCTTACTACAGAAAGCTGAATTAAAAACTGATTAAATCTCATTGAAGTGTGCTAAGATGTAATTGTATTAGGTAATAGCAGAAGACAAATGACATTATACTGCGTCACTGGTATGCATTGTTAATATCAGTAGTTACGTGCTCAGCCAACCAAATTAGAGGAACGTAATCATTGGAGAAGTGTGACCGTGATTGAAAATTATTTAGCATTCACGTCACTAAAGACGTGAATTGCTACGTATTGATTGTGACAAGTATGATTGAAAACTTGATTAATCATGTTTTTGGTTGTTTATTTACCAAAGACTCTTTTTGGTAAGCAATAAGTGTTTTACTGTCAATGTATTCATAATGTCTTATTGAATGAAATTGAAATCTTATTGTTTTAATTTGTGACTGAAATTTTTGCCGAGTTGATGGTATTATTTTCTGTTGATAAGATGCATTACCAATAGTGTTTATCTTGTAGCTAAGGAAGGGGATGAACTCAAGGATACAGCTATCGAGGCCACGTCTCGCCTCAAACAAGCTCTGATGAATGAGAGAGAGGCCAAGCTGAGACTTCAGAATGACGTCGAGAAACTTAAAGAACACATTCATGAGCTAAACAGGCAGCTGAAAATTGCCAAGGAGACGGAGGAAAGTCTGAAAGGAAGTCTGAGGGCACTAGAAGAAGTTACAGCTAAAATGGAGAGAGATAAGCTACAGCAACAGACCCACGAGGTCAGTGTCATTACTGTAGAGCTACAGATCCACAGGGTCAGTGTCATTACTGTAGATCTACAGACCCACAGGGTCAGTGTCATTACTGTAGAGCTACAGACCCACAGGTACTGTAGATCTCCAGACCCACAGGGTCAGTGTCAGTACTGTAGAGCTACAGATCCACAGGGTCAGTGTCAGTACTGTAGAGCTACAGATCCACAGGGTCAGTGTCAGTACTGTAGAGCTACAGATCCACAGGGTCATAACTGTAGAACAACTACAGCAAAAGTCCAAATAAAGTACCCTTATAATTTTAGAGAAAAACCTCTATAGCATGTTGAGTCTACTTTTGTGAGGGAGCAATCTTGGATATTGAAATGGGTGATTTTCTGTCTGATTGCTTGAAAAAGAACAATTTTGTCCTCATAGAAATTCTCCATTCTGATTTTTTTAGCTCACCTGAGCCAAAGGTTCAAGTGAGCTTTTCTGATCAAAATTTGTCCGTTGTCTGTCGTTGTCGTAGTCGTTGTCGTTGTCGTCGTAAACTTTTCACATTTTCATCTTCTTCTCAAGAACCACTGGGCCAAATTCAACCAAACTTGCTACAAAGTATCCTTGGGTAAAGGGGATTCAGTTTGTTAAGGAAGGGCCACGCCCACAAGGGGAGATAATTATGAATTAGAGAAAAATTAATGGCATTTTAAAAAAATCTTCTTCTCAAGAACCACTGGGCCAGGAAAGCTGAAACTCAGGTGGAATCATCCTCAGGTAGTGTAGAATCAAGTTTGTTCAAATCATGACCCCCGAGGCTAGGGTGGGGCCAAAATGGCCGACCCAATTTTTACATAGGAAGATATAGGGAAAATCTTCTAAAATCTTCTTCTCAGGAACCACTGGGCCAGGAAAGATGAAACTCATGTGGAATCATCCTCAGGTAGTGTAGATTCAAGTTTGTTCAAATCATGACCCCCGGGGCTAGGGTGGGGCCAAAATGGGTCAATTTTTACATAGGAATATATAGGAAAAATCTTTAAAAATCTTCTTCCACAAGTTTAGGTCAGGAAAGATGAAACTCATGTTGAATCATCCTCAGGTAGTTTAGATTCAAGTTTGTTCAAATCATGACCCCAGGGACTATGGTGGGGCCAAAATGGCCGACCCAATATTTACATAGGGATATATAGGGATACCTTTTAAAATCTTTTCAAGTACTTCAAAGCCATGATTTGTGATTTTTATATGGAATCATCCTCAGGTAGTGTAGATTCTAGTTTGTTCAAATCATGAACCCCTTGGGGGGTAAAATTCAAGGCGCCCCCCCCAGTAAACTGTGAGTGCTGGTCTGATATGTGCTTTTTCCTAGCCGATGTGCTCTGATTTTTTTTTAAAAATTGTCACAGATTTGTCAAGATTCCCTTTCAATGCAAGTAATAATCAAAATAATAGAAGTCATAAAAAATAGTCTTTGACAATAACAGGAAGTGAGTAATCATTGATGGGAAACACTGGTCATTTTGTGGTCCCTCTAATCCCATTCCATGGACTGGAATGGATAATTTCCAAAATATGTCTGTAATAGCAGTGAATGTTGATCTGTTCTCATTCTGAGGGAGTGCTCACATTTACCCGGGGATACAATAAAAAAAAACTGTTTTTGTACGGGTATGTTACTAATATTTGGATGATTTTACTGGGTCACCAAAACATTTGGCCGCGTTTCCTCTGGCATTTCCTGATTACACAAGTGAAAGGCTATTTTACTTATCACGATTACTGATTTAGTATATGTAATTGAAATACTTCAGTTTGGTATGGAGTATAGACTCTTGTTTTTTGGTATGAATTTTTTTTCCCCGGTGGTTAGACTTGAAAAAGAGAACAAGAATCAATGTACAGATAGAAATTGTAAATGAAAGAAAAACACAAAATGATTTCTTCTGGTAAAAAAGAATTTTTGGCAAACAAAAGGGAGAACTTTATAGGCTTTATGCAAGGTGCTCTTAGAATTGTTTATTTTTTTTTTTTTACAGATAATGAGAACTTTGTTCAATGCTTATTCAAGTGAAATTTCTTAACTCTTGCATTTTTTATTGATGATGGTACTTAAATTTTCAAAACTGCTCTTTGATCCACATTGAATTTCCATCACATAATCATTGCTGCCTACTGATTGGTCCACTCAAAGACAGACCATCTGTCTACTTATAAAAAATACTGTCAACTTGTTGAGAAATGTCGGTTTTGCATTTCAACTTTTGCCAATTCAGCATTTGCTTCTTCCACCATAATGATGATAAACAATCTAATGGCAAGAGAATTTCAGATTTTGATAGGTTAATAGATTGAAGCTTCAAGTGTAAAATAAAAATAAGGAACTCAGTGAAAAGAATTCACTAGACAGACAGAGTTGGTATAAATTTGTAGGGTGACACTCATTTCTTTATAATGTATCGTAACAAGTTCAGCATTTCCTGTTTAGTTTGGTTTAATGTAGGGATGGTTGACAAACATGAATTATTAGACCGTAAGGAAACATCCTCATTCTGAAGAATCAAGTCAGGAAAAAGAGCTGTTTCTGTTTTTGTGAATACAGAGTTGTTGCTGTATGAATTATTAAAAATATAAATAAATATTGCAGAGTTCTTGAAATCTTTTTTTTGCTGTCAGTCATTTGGACCGACTGCCAGGTGAAGTTTGTCAGTCCAGACAGATTTCTATCAGTCCAAAATAAATTCAATAAAAACATGAAAAAAAAATTGTATTTAAATTTTATTATCATTAAACACGGCCTATCTATATGAACACTGCACACTTCTTGTGTAGCACCGTCAAGAAAGTTTGCTTGTTTTAACAATTAACCAATAGTTTGGCGCAAGTTAGAACATTTTTGTGCAGTTTTTGGGAACAAGTCCTCATAACAGTTATACCCGCAATGTAGGAAATATTTATAGAATTGCTCCGAAACGAATTTGAAGTATAGGAAAGGATATGCACTGGAAATAACTTCAAAATTAGTTACAACAAACCTATTTTTTAGGTCGCTTATGTCTTTAAACCTAAATTATGATCCAAATAAAGACGATAATTCAACTAATTTTCTTTACCTTTTTTTCTCACTTCTTACACGCCATGTTTGCATTCAGAAATCTCTGGAATCTTCATAGTATATGTACTGAGTTCGAGTCATTGCCGGTGTTTATTTTGTGACATAGTGAATATAAGGAACAAATTCTATTATTAAACCGGGTCCGTAGGACATTTATCATTTTAACGATAGAACATTGTCTCTAAATTTGCACTTGCATTAATCAAGAAGCCATTACAACATGCAGAAAAAGAGTTTGAAAGATAACGATCAATCGATAATAGGGAATTTGTACGAAATTAAAGTTTTTGGGATTTTCATTTGCAAGTAACTTCTCTGTTGACCAACACCATCTGGTCATTTAGACTGACACAGAACGGAAAGTAATCGGTCCTTGGTTGTTTCAATCGGTTTTGCCGACAGGACCGAAAGATTTCAAGAACTCTGAATATTGTCATAATATTGACAAGATCGTGTAACAAAACGATTTTTTTCAAAGATGGTTATTAAATTATAGCAGAATGTCTTGCAACATATACTGACTTTATTTGTAGGGTAGTCCTTTGTTATTCATTTGATCTGTTTATTGTTTGCACTTTTTCTCTCATTCATACAGCAAAGTCATTGCAGAAAACATCATCCATAAAATGATGTAATAAATACACTATTTTAGGAAATTTTATTGTAATGGATACCAAATACTAGCAAAATATTAAGAATACAGAAATTCAGAATCACAAATAACCCTGCTGGGCTTTTTTTTCAACTTTTATTCTCTTTGTAGTGCATATCAAAAAAAATTATTTTGAAGAAGAAACCATAAAATTTTTCATTGAAAACAAATGTTTGGAGGAAGTGAAACTCTTTCCTGTATCATTAAAGTTAACATTTATCTTCAAAGTAACAAGGTGTTAAATTGTAAAATCAAACACCAAAAATTGATATTCAGTTGGCTCTTTGCTATTAATCCTGGATAAAACCTGAAAGTCTTTGGGGGGAAATGTTTGAAAATGTTTATGATCCCTGCGATTTTTATTAGCCTGTATAGAATGCTAGCTGATTTCTTGACTAATTGTACAGGAAGGTGATATTTGAATATTATAACAACTGTCAAATAGTACATACCAGGCAAAGACAACTCTAACTAAACATGCCAGTTATTCAAGGTCACTTGGTAAATCAGAATAATTTGATGAGTTTTTCCTGTAATTGAAATCAGCATTTACATAAATCTGGAAGTTTGGAAATCCACTCCATACCAGAGTGATGTTAATGCTGAAGCTTTGATCCTTTTTGCTGCCTTTTTGTGATATTATCTCCTATCGGAAACAGCAACAAAATTATTGGATTTCCACAATAGTGTAGAATTTGATTTACTAGATTTGGAGGGAGATATTTTGCTGATATTTAGCTCTTTGTAGACAGGCTGTGTTTAGGAAGCTAGAAATAATTGTCTACCAGAGATAATTTTAATTTTTTTTCCTCCAGAATTTGAAACTTTTCTATAATGAATCACAATTCTGATGATTTATCATTAAAGTTCACACTAACAGTTAAACATTGTTATTGACCTAATATTTCTTTTTCATGCACAGACATGGCATTCTTGCAAAAATAAAAGGATTTGTGTTATTTTTGTGTAAGAGGTTTAGATTGGTCAATTATTTTCTTAAGGAGGCTGGGGGGTCAACAAATTAACCACAAATTAACCACCAGATTTAACTTATTTTTTTGAATATGGTATCTTAAGCTGTCAACTATCATTTGGCAAAGAAAAACTTCATAAATTTTATTTAAAAAAATTGATCATTTTTAGCTCACCTCAACGAAGTTGGGGGGAGCTTATGTGATATACCCTCGGTGTCAGCATCCCAGGTTAAGGTTAGGGTTTTTGAAGCAGTTTAATTCTTTTTAAGTACTTCTATGCCCTATATTGACTAGACATGCATGGAAGATGGTTCTAATGTGTTTCATTGTACCAGTCAAAGTTTCAGATGCTGCAATTTCAGCAAAGGAATGACCAGGTTAATGTTTTTGGTGCAGGTTAACATTTTTGGTGCAGTTTTTGGTGTTGGTCTCATTTCCGAGTAACTATAAGCCCTATGTTGACCAAACTTACATGGATGGTACATCTTAGGATGCATACTACCAGACTTGCTTCGGATGCTGAATCTGACCTACATTTACCGGTTGAGTGAACAGGTTAAAGTTTTTGTTGCAGGTTTCATTTCGAAGATTATGAGCCCTATAATGACCAAACTTGCATGGATGGTACATCTTAGGATGCATTCTACTAGACTTGCTTCGGATGCTGAGTGAACAGGTTAAAGTTTTTGTTGCAGGTTTCATTTCCAAGTTTCTATGAGACATATAATGACCAAACTTGCCTGGAAGGTACATCTTAGGATGCATACACAATGGGCTGAATCAACATTTTACATAGAAATATACAGGTTAAAGTTTTTGGTGCAGGTTTCATTTCCAAGTTACTACTGAGACATATAATGACCAAACTTGCATGGATGGTACATCTTAGGATGCATATTACAAGACTTGTTGCAAATCATGACCTACATTTTCTGGTTGAGTGAACAGGTTAAAGTTTTTGGTGCAGGTTTCATTTCCAAGTTTTACATAGACATATAATGACCAAACTTGCCTGGATGGTACATCTTAGGATACATACTACCAGTCTTGCTTCGGATGCTGAATCTGACCGGTTGAGTGAACAGGTTAAAGTTTTTGGTGCAGGTTTCATTTCCAAGTTTCTATGAGCCACATATAATGACCAAACTTGCATGGAGCAATATAAAGGAAAAATCTTTGAAAATCTTGCTTCGGATGCTGAATTTGACCTACATTTTCCAGTTGAGTGAACAGGTTAAAATTTTTGGTGCAGGTTTCATTTCCAAGGTACTATGAACCCTATAATGACTAAACTTGCCTGGATGGTACATCTTAGGATGCGGGGCCAAGACTTGGGAAATCTGACCTACATTTTCATAGAAATATAACAGGTTAAAATTTATGGTGCGAAAATCATTTCCAAGTAACACTGAGCCCTATAATGACCAAACTTGCATAGATGGTACATCTAAGGGTGCATTCTACTAGGCTGGCTTCAGAAGCTGAATCTGACCTACATTTTCTGGATTAGTGAAAAGATTAGTTTTTTATACAGGTTTCATTTCCAAGTAACTCTGAGCTCTATGTTGAACAAACTTGCATGGATGATACATCATAGGATGCACACTAATGGACTTGCTTCAGATGCTGAAGAATACATTTTCCAGATAATAGAGCTAAAAGTTATGGGTGCAAGCTATCACCAAGAAACTATGAGGCTTATATAAACCAAAGTTGCACAAATGATGCATCGAGGGATGAAAACTCTCAATGGGGCTTCAGATGCTTGAAATATATAGAAAAAAAATTACATTTTCATGATGAAGAACTAGTTTTAAGTTTTTATATAGGTCTATTCCAAAGCATCAAAATTGCATAAATTTTGCATTTTTGGATGTACACTTTTTGTTGGTTAATTGTGTGACTTAATTTGCCTTACTTAAAGACAACATTCGTTGAGGTGAGCTCTGTAATCTCTGATTACCTATGTTTGTATATCTTTATATGGAGCTCTTCTTTTAAAGGAGATCGAAATAGTCTGAAAATGGCTGCCACCTCCCAGCCTCTTTAAAAAATGAAATGATATAAATGCCTATGCTCCATAAAAAGATTTCCTGATAAAAAAATAATTAATTATAGATTAGAATGTGATCTAAGAAAGAAAACCTTGGTACAGATTTAATTAAATGGTATGTAACAGATAACCCAAATTTAAGACCATACTTATATTTTACAAATTCCCTCCATAATTTGGGATGGAAATGCAGCATATGTTCTTAAAATAATGATATTAGAATTGTCTTATTTATGGTCAAAAATATTTTGCTACAGATAGAAAATTGTCAATTATCCAAAGGTAATCCTTACTTCTCATTGAAATCAGAGGAATAGTGAAACCTTGAAAAAGAAATGAGTAAAATAAAAAAAAAATTATGAACACCAACGAAAGTGAGAGGTAAAATGAAGGACAATTAGTGGTTTTGATATGATTAAGGATGTGAAGTTTCTCCGGGTTGACTTGAATGAAGTAAAATTTACAACACATGAGATGATTATTTCAGTAAATATTTAACTGTGTATGTTAATTTTATTTTGTAGCAAAAGAAGGCCCAGGATGCTCAGATGAAAGCAGCGGCGTTGTCACGGGAACTCGAGCTGACCAAGGCCACAGCCGAGAAACAAAAAGGACAGATCTCACAGCTTCAGGAACTGTTGGCAAATCGGGAGCAACAACACAGGTAAAATAACAACACAGGTAAAATAACAACACAGGTAAAATAATAAACAGGTAAAATAACAAAACAGGTAAAATACCAACACGGTAAAATAACAACACAGGTAGAGTCTAAATAACAACACAAGTATAATAACAGCTAAATAGGTCAAAACAACACAGGTAAAATAACAGCTATATAGGTCAAAACAACAACACAGGGAAAACAACAACACAGGTAAAATGACAACACAGGTAAAATAATGAAACAGGTAAAATAACAACACAGGTAAAATAACAACACAGGTAAAATACCAACACAGGTAAAATAACAACACAGGTAAAATAACAACACAGGTAAATAACAACACAGGTAAAATAACAACACAGGTATAATAACAGCTAAATAGGTCAAAACAACACAGGTAAAATAACAGCTATATAGGTCAAAACAACAACACAGGGAAAACAACAACACAGGTAAAATGACAACACAGGTAAAATAATGAAACAGGTAAAATAACAAAATAAAATGACATAAATACCAACACAGGTAAAATAACAACACTGTAAAATAACAACACAGGTAATTAAACAGGTAAAATAACAAAACAGGTGATACCAAAGTAAAATAACAACACAGGTACAGATTTAAATAACAACACAAGTATAATAACAGCTAAATAGGTCAAAACAACACAGGTAAAATAACAGCTAAATAGGTCAAAACAACAACACAGGGAAAACAACAACACAGGTAAAATAACAACACAGGTAAAATAACAGCTAATTATTTTATTAAAATAGCACATGTAAATAGGGGTAATAAAGACAACACAGAAAACACAGAGGGACAATAACAACACAGATAATACAAAGGGGAACATATACAATGATAATACAAAGGGGAACATATACAAAGATAATACAAAGGGAACATATACACAGATATAAGTACAAAGGGGAAAAACAACACAGATAATACAAAGGGGAACATATACACAGATAAACCATATTTAACAACAACATGTTAATTTTAAGGGGTAGCAAAAGAAGGAACAACAACACAGATAATACAGAACATAAACACAGATAATACAGAGGGGAACATATACAAAGATGATACAAGGAACATATACACAGATAAACCAAAGGGGAACAACAACACAGATAATACAGAGGGGAACATAAACACAGATAATACAAAGGGGAACAACTACACAGATAATACAAAGGGGAACATATACACAGATAAACCAAAGGAGAACAACAACACAGATAATACAAAGGGGAACAACAACACAGATAATACAGAGGGGAACATATACACATATATAAGTACAAAGGGGAAAAACAACACAGATAATACAAAGGGGGATAAAAAACAACAACACAGATAATACAAAGGGGAACAACAACTCAGATAATACAGAGGGGAACATATACACAGATAAACCAAAGGAGAACAACAACACAGATAAACCAAAGGAGAACAACTACACAGATAAACCAAAGGAGAACAACAACACAGATAATACAAAGGGGAACAACAACACAGATAATACAGAGGGGAACAACAACACAGATAATACAGAGGGGAACATAAACACAGATAATACAGAGGGGAACATATACAAAGATAATACAGAGGGGAACATATACACAGATAAACCAAAGGGGAACAACTACACAAATAATACAAAGGGGAACAACTACACAGATAATACAGAGGGGAACATAAACACAGATAATACAGAGGGGAACAACAACACAGACAAGTAAATATTGATGTAACCATCAATTGTCGCCGGGGAAATATAAAAAGTAAGCAACGGAAATGAGTCTTGATCATCAAACCGCTTTTGTATGTGTGAAACGGCATACAATTGATGGCGATGATACGAGTATTTTGAAAACTTACAGTTGGATAAAAACAAAAACGATACATTTTAAAGATAATACATGTAAATGTTGGCTGCATAAAATATAAATTGAAGTTAGACACAGTATCACCTATATTCAAAAATGTATTAATTTTCAATTTTAGAATATAAAACAGGAACTACAGAGAGCGTTTTTATGCGAGAACAGTAACACAGATAATACAAAGGGGAACATATACGTTTTTTAGATAGTATATGATAAGCAACTTTATATATTAAACATGTAAAACATAATACATTCATTTTATAGGAGTAAATATAACACAGATAATTTACAAAGGGAAAGAACATTCTGATTAACAATATTTACAATGGGAAAACCTTTAACTGAATAACTTCTCCCACCCCAATCACCATACACCAACACAGATCATATGTACAGAGCAGAACAGCAACACAGATAATACAAAGGGGAACAACAACACAGATAATACAAAGGGGAACAACAACACAGATAATACAGAGGGGAACAACAACACAGATAATACAAAGGGGAACAACAACACAGATAATACAAAGGGGAACAACAACACAGATAATACAAAGGGGAACAACAACACAGATAATACAAAGGGGAACAACTACACAGATAATACAAAGGAGAACAACTACACAGATAATACAAAGGGGAACAACTACACAGATAATACAAAGGGGAACAACAACACAGATAATACAGAGGGGAACATATACACAGATAATACAGAGGGGAACAATAACACAGATAATACAGAGGGGGACATATACACAGATAATACAAAGGGGAACAACTACACAGATAATACAAAGGAGAACAACTACACAGATAAACCAAAAAGGAACAATGCCACAAAGAAGATACTAGATGTAAGATAAAGGAGACCATGCCACAACATTGAGAATTTGTAAAACAAAGAGGGAGAAACAATTCTGATGATACACAGGGTTATAAACTTATGTGTAACAAGGAAGAAGCTATAGGGATGTTCAGATGAACAACAAACTGGGAACAATTTCATAGAAAACTCGGAAAGCATCAGTTGATGTGACAGACTCAAGGGCAACAAATGTGATGTAGAGAAATCAATACAAAGGAGAGAATAACACATGAAAAACTCACCTGGAATAAGTCATATATCATATAGGGAAACAAATATCAAAAACCAAGAGGCAACAGTAAACCTTTGAAGTTATCAATAGATATGAACATAGAGGAATGGCAAAACTTCGAGTGAGCAAAGACACATGAGACACAGAGGAAACAGAGGAAACGACATCTTATTGAACAAAAAAGAAGGCAACAAATAGAAACAACAAGCATTGCAACACACAGATAGATTACATTTATTAAAAAGTTTACAGTTGCAATAGGCCATAGGGGTGACAAGGTTAAAAACAATAGCTCAAGCATCAAATGGGGAAGGAATGGAAAGGCAGTTAGTACAAGGACCCTAAAACAATGTTCATGACTTAACACAAAGGGAACAAGAAGTCGTGTAATATATTAATTATCACAAAAATCCTGTATGTAAACAAACATTTCTTAAGGATTTTCAAGTGCAGTGAAGGCATGCTACATTTATTGTACCCTGTAACCTAAGACTGGGGAGAAATAGGCACCTCTCTCTAATATTAGCCTGTGGATGGTTCTATACTTGACCCCATAATCAGCAAAAAATGCAGGCAATAGGTTGTGTAATTAGAAATAAGGAAATGAGGGTTTTATGAATGAAATAAAGTTGTCAAGGTCTCATTAGATGGTTATATTTAGGTCAGGTTATAGGCCTGATGATATTGTAAGTGACTACTGATGGTTGTTAAAAGAGTTAGCCTTGTATCTTGCTTGGCACCCCGTCCTGTATCACTTAGCCATATCAATACCAATTACAACTATAATATAAAAAGACCCTCCAAACAAGACATCACTGGTCAGGTTTATTTTCTCTTTAATCAAATTCTTTGTTTTTAGTCAAGGCTATTGAATTAGATCACTTAGCTTCATTTTCAGATATTTGCACCCAAGTTATCTCCTGTCCCATTCTTCTTGTTCAGGCATTTCCGGCATGCTTAAGATGATGCCAGCCATTCAATAACAGGCCTCTCATTGATAAAACTGGTCAGATTCAGTTTTATAGTTTTCATAAAGTAGATATGCCAAAATTATTCTGAATGAAGATCAGAAACTATAAATGTCTATTTAGATTTTTTGAAGGATATTTGATTTGATCTGTAATAAAGTGGAGCAGTTACACTACTACGGCCCTTTTCACAAAAACAAAATATGAATAAGATTAATACTTTCCATTCTCTAAGAAAATATCTTAGCTTTAGTTGGTCAGCAAAAATGTTTTATTTCTATATCATTAAATTACTGTATAAGTGGAAATTTTAGCGAGGCGTAAATTTAGCAATTTGTCCTTAAAAACTGGTATTTTATTTTTAGCGAGAAGTAATTTTAGCGATTTTAAAATTCTCACTAAAGAAGCAATGGCAAAATTTAATCTACACTATATATGCTGCATTTACTGTACATTGTAAATAATATTTTAAGAAAAATAATTCTTTATTGAACAATAAATTAGAGTTGTGAAATTTTTTTTTTGTAAAAAGGGCTGCTGATGCATGCCATGCTTGGTTGAAGTGTCCAATGTATTTCTGTAGAATTTATCACATATCATTGGTTCTAATTAGACATTACTCGTATCAGCCATTTTAAGTCAAGTAATAATTACAAATGGGTATGTGCTGTAGAGAAATAGTGGAAGGAGGGAAAGTAAAACTCTTCTCTCTAGGCTTATTTGCTAAAATCATTCCCAGGCTAGTTCATCAAGCGGTAAAGCTGAAAAGTATGTAAATTTATTGCCCACTGTGTTACCGACTGCTCAGTAATGGCGGCTTTTAGCTTCATTGAGTAGGGCTGGTCACTTGGTATCATACACTTACGCAGAATTAAGTTAGATTAACAAGGTTTTTGCTCTGCAATACATCTTTTCCCGTTTCTTGGAGGTAATATAGAAACACAAGTCGATCGAAGACATTTGAAGGATGAAGATTTTCTTTGTGGCTAGCGACTAGCATTTACCAAGTTTTGAATTTGTCAATTTCTGTCTGTCATGAGGAGGTATATTAAATCAAATTATGTCCCATGCAGTTTAACCACAAAATAGAAGTGCCCCCTCCAGCTAGGATTATTATTCTTGTCATTAAATATTGATATATATTCGGACTAGAACAGAATATATCGCTCCGTGCTGTGGTCTTTCTTCGGCAGAAATATCTTTTTATACGCAGTTCACTACTGACTTTTGTCTTCATCTTCATTATTTTGATGTGTTTTAATCCCACACTATTTCCACACTGATAGTAAATTATACTGACTCTATCATAAAGCTGGGGCTCTGTGCATTTAGACTGAAATACTTTATAGTCCTTATGTTTCACCACAAATGTATTTAATTCATCTTTTCTTTATTGTTAAGAGAAGAATATAATTTTACAATTGTGCAAACAATAGTTTGACTGAATTAATGTTTTGAAAGCTTAAATAATTTAAATGGAATAAAATAGTGCAATATTTCACCTGAAGTTTTCTCACAATAACATTAGCTTTTACGCACTTATATCAATGCATATGAGATATGGCTATTTGATTTTGTCTGACTAATTAAAAGAGTAAAGTCGTCAAGATAATAAACTTTTTAATTATCAATCATAACAAAGCAATTATATATATCTTAATAAACCTAATAGTTATATATCATGATAGAAAATATTTACAACAAAATTATATACCATAATAAACCTAGTAATCATTATAAACTTAGTAATTAATCATAATCTACCTATATGTATTGTACAGGGATGAGATGAAGAAGAGATACAGTTTGGACAGTAAGGAGTTACAGGAAGTGATCTCAGACCATGTGAAGAAGGCGGAAAAGAACTACAGCCTGGAGGTCAAATCACAAAATGATAAGTAAGGGGAGGTCAAAACACAGAATGATAAGTAAGAGGAGGTCAAATCACAGAGTGATAAGTAAGAGGAGGTCAAAACACAGAATGATAAGTAAGAGGTCAAATCACAGAATGATAAGTAAGAGGTCAAATCACAGAATGATAAGTAAGAGGTCAAATCACAGAATGATAAGTAAGGGGAGGTCAAATCACAAAATGATAAGTAAGGGGAGGTCAAAACACAGAATGATAAGTAAGAGGAGGTCAAATCACAGAGTGATAAGTAAAAGGAGGTCAAGTCACAGAATGATAAGTAAGAGGTCAAATCACAGAATGATAAGTAAGAGGAGGTCAAATCACAGAATGATAAGTAAGAGGTCAAATCACAGAATGATAAGTAAGGGGAGGTCAAATCACAGAATGATAAGTAAGGGGAGGTCAAATCACAGAATGATAAGTAAGGGGAGGTCAAATCACAGAATGATAAGTAAGGGGAGGTCAAATCACAGAATGATAAGTAAGGGGAGGTCAAATCACAGAATGATAAGTAAGGGGAGGTCAAATCACAGAATGATAAGTAAGAGGAGGTCAAATCACAGAATGATAAGTAAGAGGTCAAATCACAGAATGATAAGTAAGGGGAGGTCAAATCACAGAATGATAAGTAAGGGGAGGTCAAATCACAGAATGATAAGTAAGGGGAGGTCAAATCACAGAATGATAAGTAAGAGGAGGTCAAATCACAGAGTGATAAGTAAAAGGAGGTCAAGTCACAGAATGATAAGTAATAGGTCAAATCACAGAATGATAAGTAAGAGGAGGTCAAATCACAGAATGATAAGTAAGAGGAGGTCAAATCACAGAATGATAAGTAAGAGGTCAAATCACAGAATGATAAGTAAGAGGTCAAATCACAGAATGATAAGTAAGGGGAGGTCAAATCACAAAATGATAAGTAAGAGGAGGTCAAATCACAGAATGATAAGTAAGAGGAGGTCAAATCACAGAGTGATAAGTAAAAGGAGGTCAAGTCACAGAATGATAAGTAATAGGTCAAATCACAGAATGATAAGTAAGAGGAGGTCAAATCACAGAATGATAAGTAAGAGGAGGTCAAATCACAGAATGATAAGTAAGAGGAGGTCAAATCACAGAATGATAAGTAAGGGGAGGTCAAATCACAGAATGATAAGTAAGAGGAGGTCAAATCACACAATGATAAGTAAGGGGAGGTCAAATCACAAAATGATAAGTAAGAGGTAAATCACAGAATGATAAGTAAGAGGAGGTCAAATCACAAAATGATAAGTAAGGGGAGGTCAAATCACAAAATGATAAGTAAGAGGTAAATCACAGAATGATAAGTAAGGGGAGGTCAAATCACAAAATGATAAGTAAGAGGAGGTCAAATCACAGAATGATAAGTAAGAGGTAAATCACAGAATGATGAGTAAGAGGTCAAATCACAGAATGATAAGTAAGGGGTCAAATCACAGAATGATAAGTAAGGGGAGGTCAAATCACAAAATGATAAGTAAGAGGAGGTCAAATCACAGAATGATAAGTAAGAGGTCAAATCACAGAATGATAAGTAAGACGAGTCCAAAGGAACAATTCATAATGAAGAAAGGGTTTTTTTTTTTTTTAATCTATATATTTCATTAAAATGATTGTATTAAAGTTTCTTGATTTTGCTTCTAAATGAAGATGAATTTTTTGCTAAAAAATATATTTGTATTAATGAAGAAATTTACACTGAAGTAAGTTTGTAAAATTGGAAGCAAGTCTTTCATGTGAGTAAAATTAAGTAATTTTAAAATGATTCTGTTATGATCAAATTTATCCCCTGCTGTTGATTTATTAAGCATTGGGATGTATTCCACACTGATACCACTTTTAAAATGCTGAAGATGTTCATTCAGTAACAGAGCAAATTTTGGCGAGAATGTGTATACCCTGTCTTATATCATTAGAAATCTTATAAATTTATACAAACAATTAATGAGGCATAATTGACCCCTCTAATTAGATTATTCTTGTGCATGTTTTGTTTGTTTCCTGCACCAGCAAGTCTGTATGACGGATTCTTGGTTAAGTGTGTTTGTTTGGGTAATTACGTAAGACAAACACATTATTATTTGTCTGTTAGGAGAGCTAGGAATCTCTGGTTAAGGGATGGCTACTCTTCAGCCCCGTCTAGGATACCTGGAGCCACAGATATTGTGGTGTTAGACACCCAATTATAATTTCTTGTCTAATTGTATTTTTATGCCAGGGATGCCGATTTTTAGATACTAATTTCTATTTTGCCAGAGGTGCATTTCTTGCTACTTAGCTATATTGACCTACCATACTGTTCACTCTAACTGTTTACTGAAGGCATTCAATAATCATTAGCATTCTATGATTAGAGACATCATGACAAAGATACAAATGTCTGACTAAATAAGTGTAATGTAAAATAAAAATTAATTTTCTTATTCTAATTTTCTGATACTTAAGTAAAATATCCTGTTCAGTGACATTTGAAGTAAGGTGTTATATTTTTTATCATGGTTATGGTAATTCACACTTAGTACTTACTGCAAAAAGAAGTTATAATCTCATGTGGCATGATGTGGGCTCTAGATGGACAGCAGGGAATCAATTTCATTACAAATACATGCTAGCAAAAACAGAATGTTTTTAAAAATGTGTCCCCCATTTACCACTTAAAATAATCGGGTAACTGACCTGTCTGCTGGCCTGTAGTTTTCACGTCAGATATCAACAGATGGGGATAGTGTTTCTTTGAGTTATGATTTTTAAAATGTTAGCATCTATATATGTAAACAAAGTTCTTAAATTTGAATTACAATGGAGAGATTATTTGCAGAACTTAGATTAATTATAGTCACCTAATTACATCTAAATTATTGCTACAATTTCTCTAAAAAGAATTAATCCTCTTTCATATGTTGAGTTATAAAACTTAATCAAGTGATCTTGCTTTAAAGATCATGGACCCTTTAATACTCTGTTTTAATGATAATTAACTGTATAAATCTATGACACTTGCGTGCAGGCAGCATAAACACAATGGACTACAGCTGGACACAGCTGTCAAAGTGACCGATTAAAACGTACCCTCTCCCACATACAGGGCCAAGTGGAGTAATCCAAAATGAGGCTCTGTCTCATAGGTCATATCAAGCTGTAACTCACACAGACAAACAGAAGATTTACAAATTCTTAGCCGTTAAGAGTTCCAAGCAGATTGCAATGAATGTTTAAAAAGTTTTTTGTCCTATATGAAAAGAAATCAAAACATTCTTGCAAAGAAGTGCATGGATCTTCTTTCATGTGAAATCATAGCATGATGTTGCTGAAAACTGATAAGTTTTTGTAACAATTTTATTTTAAATTTCATGGACAGAATGCAGATTTCAAAAAGAACTGAAACTTACTCTAAAATCTCATATTTTCAAGGGGTCAAATTTTCGTGGTTTTAGGAAAATATATTGGTTCATGGTGATTTGATTTCGTGGTTGATGAATTGTTTAGTAGTGATATATGTAAAAAAAAAATTGTATTTCGTGGTGGACATAAATTCACTACATGAAAATTGGTGATTTCACAGTATCTGAAAGTGATCATGAATACATCATTGACTCTAGTTGCGAGTCAGCTACCGGGTATTTTAGAAAATTACATTTTTGACATAACAAATTAAATCAGAGAAAAACGGTTGTCTCTCTTAAAAAATTAAACTTTTGTAATGGTAATTCAGGAAGCTTTTTGCATTAAAGGTATTAAAAAAAATATTTTGGGAGCAAAATGCTTCATACTTTTGTTTAATATCCTAATACAAGCTTTGATTTAACTACTGCAAAGAATTTTAACTTTTATTGCCAGGGAATGAACTTATATAACGTTAACTTCAGCAATGATATTTTTACTTAAATTTTAACGAAATTTCGGATTCATGCGAGAATTCATGATTCATACTTCGGTGCTCTATACTGAACATCAGAAACAAAAATTGGTCATATTCAGGTTTATTTGAAGAATAATATGACTTGAACAAGCATTAACTTCCTTAACATTACCTTAAAATCAATGGAATATTAGAATTGTTGAAAGTTTAGTTAATGATGCCATTTTGTGGATAATTCTGTTTTACAAGTTCACTGATATGCCCTTTAGAGAATTATGATGTTCATTTTGCTCTTTGAAACAATTAATTTTTTCATGTTTTATATTATGAACTGGTTCATTTATCATACAATGACTGCTTATATTTATTTTAGTTTTATACAAGTTGCTTATAGATGGAGGTCAATAAAATAACAAAAAGACCATTTTAACTGTCTTTGAAAATATTGCAATGCATATTGCAATATAAATATCACAAAATATTATATAAGATGATTATTTTCGTAGTTTTCATTGGCTGAAAGTACATTACGTGATATTCCTCCTTTCATGATATCGACGCGGAAAGTAATATCGCACGACACGCCATTCTTTTGCACTAAAGTTACGTAGTACGTTACGTCATAATATAAGAAGCGTGAATTTAACCATTGTGAAGTAATGACAGCCAAGTCCGTTCAGTTAGGACTGTGTCAGTACATTCAATTTGAGTGATTATATAATATAACTATTATGGACTTCAGTGAACGGTCAATATGTGGTTATAAGGACTCATGGCAATTGATATTGACCTCAGACACAGAAAATGATAGCGACCTCGCAGGCTCGGTCGCTATCATGTCAATATCAATTGCCATGAGTCCTTATAACCACATATCGACCTACACTGAAGTCCATAATTGTATAATATCACAGTTCCGAATTTCCAGCTGATACCCAACCCTATAGATGTCTTTACAGATGTTCAGAAATAGCTATCTGCACAGTTACACGTTAAAAATTGTTTTTTATAGGGTAGATCTTTTGACTAAGCAGTACGCTGACTTGGAGGATGAATTCAGAATGGCTCTTCAGATTGAGGCAAATAGATTTAAGGAGGTAAGTTTGGACAAGCCGTGTTTATCTTCTCTGATCAACACATAATCTACTCCAGATTGCTAATTACTTTTTTAGTAGCCACAATTTATCAGGTAAAAATTCATGAATATATTCTTTATATGGAGAGCCCAAAAATTAACCATGTAAACTCTGTTATAGCTCACCTAAGCAAAAGGCCATAGTTAGCTTTTTAGCTTTCTGTCTGTCCATCCACCCATCTTTAAACATTTTCACTTTTAACTACTTCTTGAAAAGAATTACAGAGTTAATTTTGACCAAAGCTGAATTAAAGCATCAATGGGGAAAGGGGAGTTTAAAATGTTAAAAAGATAGAGCAAGCCCCGTTATATGGATAGATAATTAAGAAAAAAGGGATGGGGTCATTAAAAAAAATCTTCTTCTTATGAACCTTGGGGCTAGAAAAGTTTAAACTTTAGTGAAAGCATCCTAGGGTATTGAATGTTTTTAGCTCTACTGGTCAGAGACCAGAAGAGCTTATGCGATAGTAATGCGTCCGGCGTCCATCCGTCTGTCTGTAAACAATTTTTCAAAACGCTACTCCTCCTACAATTTTAGTCTGATTTCAGTATAACTTGGCACACAAGTAGACTACACTAAGATACATAAAATAGTGCATCAGTTTTTGATTTCGATGAACGGTGTTGCCATGGTTACTAAATATAGAATTTTCTGAGTAATTTCTTTAAAATGCTACTCCTTCTACAGTTTTGGTCTGATTTCAATATAACTTGGCACACAAGTAGACTACACTAAGATACATAAAATAGTGCATCGGTTTTTGATTTCAATGAGCGGTGATGCCATGGTTACTAAAAATAGAATTTTCAGAGAAATTCCTTTAAAAGGCTACTCCTTCTACAATTTTGGTCTGATTTCAATATAACTTGGCACACAAGTAGACTACACTAAGATACATAAAATAATGCATCGGTTTTTGATTTCGATGAATGATGATGCCATGGTTACTAAGAATAGAATTTTCTGTGAAATTCCTTTAAAACGCAACTCCTTCTACAGTTTTAGTCTCATTTCAATATCACTTGGCACACAAGTAGACTACACTAAGATGCATAAAATAGTGCATCAGTTTTTGATTTCGATGAGCGGTGTTGCAATGGTTACTAAAAATAGAATTTTCAGAGTAATTCCTTTAAAACGCTACTCCTTCTAAAGTTTTGGTCTGATTTCAATATTACTTGGCACACAAGTAGACTACACTAAGATACATAAAATAATGCATCGGTTTTTGATTTCGATGAACGATGTTGTCATGGTTACTAAAAATAGAATTTTCTGAGAAATTCTTTAAAATGCTACTCCTTCTACAGTTTTAGACTCATTTCAATATCACTTGGCACACAAGTAGACTACACTAAGATACATAGAATAGTGCATCGGTTTTTGATTTCGATGAGCGGTGTTGCAATGGTTACTAAGAATAGAATTTTCTGAGAAATTCCTTTAAAACGCTACTCCTTCTACAGTTTTGGTCTGATTTCATTATCACTTGGCACACAAGTAAACTACACTAATTTACACATAATAGTGCATCGGTTTTTGATTTCAATGAACTAAAAGTAGAATTTTCTGTGGAATTCCTTTAAAATGCTACTCCTACAGTTTTGGTCTGATTTCAGTATAACTTATCACACAAGTAGACTACACTAAGATACATAATTCTGTGCATCGGTTTTTGATCAGTACAAACCAGTAGAGCTACAGTCTCGACAGAGACTTCTGGTTAACTGTCTAAACTTGACCCCCTGGGGTAGGATGGGGCCACAGTGGGGATTTCAAGTAAGGTAAAAAATAGTGGGAGAAAATACATAGATGACCCAGGTGAGCTTTGTGGACCCAGGGATTTTCGTTTTGTGTTGGCATATGAATGCTGCATACAAACTGCCAAATCATTTGTATGGTTCATTGTTTTATTACATATAAAGAAAATATAAGTAAAATTTATAGAAAACATATTAAAAACTTTGAAAATATATGTTTTGCACATCAGAAAGGCATTCCAAAGCATGACAAAGCATACATGTCAACTGTGGTAGCAGATTAATGTAATGGCCTGATTTTTTTGTTATCCTGTCATCTTCCAATAACTCTTCTTACCTGTTAAAATACCTGTATAATACCTTTATAATACCTGTAATCGGCATTACAGGGTGAGATGAAAGGATGTACTGTAGATAGACACGACCAGTACATGCTGGGCTAGGCTCTCTGTCAGTCTCCTTTGTTTATGATCAGCCAGGAAATCAGTAATGAAGAAATCAGTTTATTTCACTAAAGGGAAGACCAAACTCTCCTTCTGGTGGCTAATATTTCAATTGACACATCAAGGTTTGGTGAGAGGAGCTCCTACCATCCTATATCTGTTACTGATATCAAAGAGTTTATTGTTGTACATATGATTACCGATAATCATAAAGTCCTCAAATTATTGATATTTTTTCCTATTTTTATCCTGATAATTATAAGATTTATTTTTGCTGATTTAGCAAAACAAGAAGTAACAGGGTTCTTTTAATTGCTACTGGGTGCAGTTTTTAATAAACACAAATGACAAAAAGTGGTAAATTTTACAGATACTTTTACTAGTAATAGGAGGGAGCCTTTATATTATGTATATTTTTTTCCTCAACAGCTTCAGCATGCATTCCAGACCATCAGTGAAGAGAATGCTGAAAACAAGCAGGCTTTGTTAGCAGCTCAGCAGAAAGATGAAACATCAGCAGCCATGATAAGTGAGCTCTCACAGGTAAATTCTAGCTCAATGAGCTCTCACAGGTAAATATTAGCTCAGCAAGCTCATACAGGTAAATACTAGCTCAGTGAGCTCACACAGTAAATACTACTCAGTGAGCTCTCAAAGGTAAATACTAGCTCAGTGATCTCTTACAGATAAATACTAGCTCAGGGAGCTCTCACACATAAATACTACTCGGTGAGCTCTCAAAGGTAAATACTAGCTCAGTGAGCTCACACAGGTAAATACTAACCCAGTGAGCTCTGACAGGTAAATACTAGCTCAGTGAGCTCTCAGGTAAATACTAGCTCAGCGAGCTCTCACAGGTAAATAATAGCTCAGTGAGCTCTCACAGGTAAAGACTAGCTCAGCGAGCTCTCACAGGTAAATACTAGCTCAGCAGGCTCTCACAGGTAAATACTAGCTCAGCAAGCTCTCACAGATAAATACTAGCTCTCACAGGTAAATACTAGCTCAGTGAGCTCTCATAGGTAAATACTTACTCAGTGAGCTCTCACAGGTAAATACTAGCTCAGCGAGCTCTCACAGGAAATCAGGCTCACTGAGCTTTCATGGGTAAATAACAGCTCACCTATCTCTCACAGGAACTAACTAATCTATCTCTCACAGGTAAATGCTAATTCATCTATCTCACACAGGAAAGCTAGGTCCTTATGTTCACACGGGTAAATACTAGCTCACTCTAGAGAATATATTGATAGCAGACATGTAAATACCTGGCCAAGCATGTCTAACCAGCAACATAGAATTCCTGATAGAATGTACCAAAAGCAAACAACTAATTACATGGCCAAGCATATTTTATATGACAATGGATGCTAAGATAAGGCAGGTTGCTTTGTGTTTAAACCTTTTAAAAAGCAGGAATTAGGATATGAGATTCTGTGCTTAACTAAAAGCTTCAAGAAAAAAATAAGTCAATTCTGGGAGAAAAGCAGGTTTTATACATGAAAAACTCGGTGAAGTGTTCATTTGTAAAATCCTTTACAATGATTTTTATCATCAAAAGTATCTACAATTAGAAATAGCCAGTCTTTATTCAGGTGAAATAGTGCTAGGATCAGGGATTCAATGAATCTGGGAACCACATTTTTTTATATATATAACTAATGATCTATGACGTGTACTTTTGTGAATGGTACCAGCCTGGATTAAGTTCCGTTGTAATCTCTGTATTTTTGTGTTTCATTCTAATTTAGTTGTACTTTTTGTAAAGCTTAATACCTTTTGTACTTTAACCATCAACTGATCTTATATGTTAGATGGGTGGTTAGATATTGTAAAACTAAAATTATCTCCCTTTGAGTATTGTTATGGAAATTGTGTTAATTGAGATTAATCATGCAGAAGATTTTTATCAGCGTATTATACTGTTTATACTATTTTTCTGAAAGGTGTTAACTTTACTTTCATTTTGCATTTAAAAATGGTTTTAATTGTCTTAATTTTTTTCAGTACCTTGAATTAATTAAAATTTATGGTAAACAAATTATTTAAGGTCAAGATCTAGTAAATGAAAGGTGCCTACAGATTTATCAAACTTGAGAAATAAATTCCTTTATTGATGCTTTACAACTTTAGCTTGGTCAAATAAGGTGTTTCGGGGCATAATTTGCAGATAAACAAGATGAAAAACTGTATTTTAAACTGTCATTTTCAATGAAAAATTAAGAAATCCAGTCATGAATATGGAAGTTTTTCTCATATTCGACAAAGGAAATGTATCCAGATTGCCTACAGTCTCTCAAAAAATGGTCATTAGTATGTTCATTGCCTATACTTTAAATCAATATAAAATTTAATATAGGTGTCCGGTTTACTTTTCATATGATTTTAAATTGAATGTCATGAAAATACCCTATTTTCTGCATAATTCTGCTAAAGTCGTAAAGTACGGGAAAAAGAAAGTTGAAATTGATTATGACGTCATAATGGATCTAGCACCAAAAAAGTAGTCTCAAGCTATTTACTAGATCTTGACCTTAAATTGATTTAGTGTAAGTATTGTGTAAATGCATTTTCTTGTACCTAATGTCTTAAAAGGTAGCTGTGTAGGATATTATGGTACATGTACAAGGCAATCAAAACCATGATCATTTAATTTTGCTAAAGTGTTGTGATCTTAAGGCATGGCTAGATTTTCAAAAATTTAGACTTGATTTCAGAACAGCAAAGCGATGATTAGTCATAAAATATATCTAATTTTAAAGAATCGTAAAGAAAAAATATTTGCAATGTGTAAAGGAACAATTATTTTTTAAGTCTTTAAATCATGTTTTACTGAAGGATGCCGTAATTTTTTCAGTCTGCATTCTGGCAGACTTTGAATAGAATGCACAGCATGAACTTTTCAATCCATAGGACCTGCTATAACAGTATTATAGAGACCTTCATCAAGCCCTGCTATCCGGCCGCAGGGTTAATTTTCTATAATATTCCCTACAAATCACAACAGGTTCAATTAAAAGACAAAAAAAAATCTAGAAAATTTATCCTTTAATTTCATAATTCAGTGGGCCGCAGAAATTCGTTTGACATAAATCTGATTTGAATTCTTTCTAAATACGGAGACCTGTAGTCTGTAGAGCACATTTAATAGACAATTTGTAAAACATTGAGAGCAGGTTTGGCTAATTCACTTGTTCATTATTGGGGCCAATGATTTTGTCATCATCATTTGTACTGGTTTGTGGACAAGACTATTTTAGCTTACCAGAGTCAGAAGCCTTTGTATATTTTCAACCTTTTGCCAGAACCACTTGTCGAATTTGATGCCACAAAACATCCAAGTAAATGGATTATTTGCTCAAATAAACAGGCTTTGTATATTTTTTCAAACTTTTCCTAGAACCACTTGTCAAATTGGATGCCACAATTTAATATCCAAGTAAATGGACTATTTGCTCAAATAAACAGGCACTCCATTTTTAAAGGGGAGACAAATTAGAAATGATAAAAATAGAGTTGAGTAATTTTTTAAAATTCTGAAGAATCACTGAATAGGTTTTTAAAGAAACTTATGTAAAAGGTGCTCTGTTTAGAGTAAATTATTTATTTTTCTTTTCAAATCATTTTTAAGGAACTGGATTGAACTATAAAAGGGGTCTGTGATAGCATTGTAACTCAGGTGAGAATTGTGGCCCATGAACCTTTCTAGGGCTGTGTATTGAGCCAAAAATTTCGATACGTTACGATACAATATTTTTTAAAGCGATATGCGATATATTGGATTCTAAAACAAGTCCGTCAGAAAAGGCTTAAAAATCACTTTAATGCATAATTTTCATAACAATTAAGTGTTTTATTACCCATTTTAAACTTCTTGTCGCATTGACATTAAAATAAAACTTCAAATGAAAACTTTTAATGACAGTAAAATAAACATGTTCAAATTCAACTTTCTTTGTATTTTGTAACAATTACAAAAACTGTGTTATTTCCTTACAAATTATATAATTATTGAACAGTTTGATTTCAAAAAAGTTAAATATAATCTTTGGTGATTGAAATTCCGTATGTTTTTTAACAGAAAAAAAAGAAAAACTGTTTGTCATTTGTATACGATATTGGAAGTTATTTTTCTATGGTCATTACAATATTTTGTCATTACAACATCGAAATAAAACTGGTGCACCGTAGCGTCATAAAATATATGTGTTTACCACTTTCCTAAACCTTTAAGCAAATGCCTTAAAATTTTTAGACTACAAAATTGATTGTAGAATAAGTGTGTAAGTTGTTTAAAAAACTTTTATTTTGAATCTCAAATTTGTATTCTTTAATAAAAGTTAAGGCAGGATGTGCACATTCAAGCATTATAAAATCTTTATTTTTGCCTAATTTTTAAAAGAATGTAACAATGATGTTTGTAATTTTCTCTAATCCCCATTTGTTGGGATATATTTTGATAAAAAGATGGACCACTGTTCTTACTCTGATTTATCTAACTTTAAAATTAATGTTGTTATTAATTAACACAGTAATTAGATGATTATGTTACACTGAGATCTAAAGGTAACACTAACAGAATAAGGCCATTGAACTTTGATTTTTTTTAATGCTAAATAATGGCTTAATAATTTGTTTCTAATGAAGTAGATGTTTATGAATCGGCTTAAGTTAGTTTGTGTTTCCGACGGCTACCACCGATGACATCACAGCACACCTGGGGGATTAAGTCAATCATCCTATCTATTGGTTGGCTAAGATCACTTCCTGTGTCGGGTGCCAGGATGCTAGTTGTCTTTAATTGAACTCTGTCATGCAGGGAAAAAAGTACAACATGCTCTGAAGTGGAAAATTGCTTTAGCTGATTGAATACTAAACTATAATCTCCACAAGTATATCAGATATTTAACTGTCAACCTACACTGTGTTTATATACTTCAGATTTAGGAATTAGCTTTGTTTTCAATTTTAATCTTATTTGCACTAATAAAATGTATAGCCTAAAACAATAAAAAAGAAAACAGCTGGGCATAACGAAGTCAATCCCTACAATGGACTAATGATCTTGCAGGGCAAATAAAAAAACAACGAAGAAACAAAACAAAACATGGAATGATCCCGCAGTTAAAATTCTCCAAAGATAATTGTCGCCAAATTAACCAGAACACAATTCAAATAATTACTTTACAATATTAAATCAGAAGACTCGAAGGAAATTAATTTCTGTGTTGACCTTTTGAATACCTGATTGCGACAGTATTTTTTAGCTGCTGTCTAGGATGAAGATACCGTTTTGTTGTTTTATTACGTTGAAGTTGTACAGTTTCTATCTTAGGGTTGAGTACTCGGTCAGGTATAGAGACTGATTTTGAAGTTAGTTAATTTTGATCTTACGCTGGAATTAGTTGTTTTGTTGATGGCAATAATTCGCGACAAATAAGGGAGATAATTTTGTCACCTGCGATGCCTGACTCTCTCACAGCAGCAGAATTTTTTCTCTCCTCACAACAATTTCCCTCTGCGTCATTTTCCCCGCTGTTCTG